TCATTTTCATTCAATCAATATTCTAATTGAATTTACTGCATTTTAACATACAATACTGTTCTCTTGATTAATTGCAATAACGGACGACATCGTACCATTGCGCGTACCATGGACTATGGTAGTAGAAAAGTCGATATGCAATCGAATCGTCCATAATCCACACCGTGCATTGCAGGATTGCCGTTGCAGCGCACTCTGTGACATGACTGGATGAACTGGTTATGCCTCTATTTTTACTCCATGCCACTCCGACATAGCCGCCTAGGCTACTACAAGTGGTCATGTCCACTTATTGTCCATGTTAGTACAAAGTTCAAAGTACGCTAGCACGCAAAGCCGATGGTGTTCTCTCCCACAGGGACTTTTAACCGCAATTTTCTCTATTGACTAATTTACAAACAACTTGATATTAGACCACGATTGCAACGTCATTTGTAGAAGGTGCAGAAACTACTACCTATCAAATGGTGTAGTGTGCTGTTATGGAAAGCTCTGATCAATATCAATCCATGACTTGTGCAACCGATCGTACATTCACCAGTGCTAATGTTTGTATTCGAAATGTCAAAGAGGATCATGTAGCTCAATATTGGGAGTCCAATCAAAATAATTAAAAATCATCAACAGCGAATGTTGCTCAAGGTTGTAAAGATCTGTTTAAGTCGACTTTGGGGCAAATTTAAATTAGTGTCAGTTGGTAGAAAAGTTTGCAAAATGTTTTGCAAATGTTGCTGAAGGTTATAAAGATCTGTTTACGTCGACTTTGGGCTAAATTGAATTAGTATCAGTTGGTAAAAAAGTTTGCAAAATGTTTTGCTAATGTTGCTCAAGGTTGTAAAGATCTGTTTAAGTCGACTTTGGGGCAAATTTAAATTAGTGTCAGTTGGTAGAAAAGTTTGCAAAATGTTTTGCAAATGTTGCTGAAGGTTATAAAGATCTGTTTACGTCGATTTGGGCAAATTGAATTAGTGTCAGTTGGTAAAAAAGTTTGCAAAATGTTTTGCTAATGTTGCTCAAGGTTGTAAAGATCTGTTTAAGTCGACTTTGGGGCAAATTTAAATTAGTGTCAGTTGGTAGAAAAGTTTGCAAAATGTTTTGCTAATGTTGCTCAAGGTTGTACTGTAAAGATCTGTTTACGTCGACTTTGGACCAAATTGAATTTATGTCTGTTGCTAGAAAAGTTTGCAAAACGTTTTGCTAATGTTGCTCAAGGTTGTACTGTAAAGATCTGTTTACGTCGACTTTGGGCCAAATTGAATTTGTGTCAGTTGGTAGAAAAGTTTGCAAAATGTTTTGCTAATGTTGCTGAAGGTTGTAAAGATCTGTTTACGTCGATTTGGGAGCAAATTGAATTTGTGTCAGTTGGTAGAAAAGTCTGCAAAATGTTTTGCTAATGTTGCTGAAGGTTGTAAAGATCTGTTTACGTCGATTTGGGGGCAAATTGAATTAGTGTCAGTTGGTAGAAAAGTCTGCAAAATGTTTTACTAATGTTGCTGAAGGTTGTAAAGATCTGTTTACGTCGATTTGGGGGCAAATTGAATTTGTGTCAGTTGGTAGAAAAGTTTGCAAAATGTTTTGCTAATGTTGCTGAAGGTTGTAAAGATCTGTTTACGTCGACTTTGGGCCAAATTGAATTAGTGTCAGTTGGTAGAAAAGTTTGCAAAATTGGCTCAGCTAATGACTCTACTGTAGGTACTTACTGTATACTCCTACTCGGGTATGTTTAACAGTAGATCATGTAGTAGTCCCTGTTTCTAGCAAACTGTAGACTACTTAGGTCCAGCCCTTCAACCAGAGCGTGCCACGCCCATCTAGCCTGTGTACAGTGTACAGTACAGTACACTACAGTACTTGAAGTTGCTACTGTACTGTAGCGTGCTATGTGCTGAGTTGACAGTACTGACTACTGTATGACTTGAGCCATTCAAGTCAGTACTGTACTGTCAAGAGACTCATCCTCCCTGGTACGGTAGAGTACAGTACAAAGGATACACGTACTGTACGAGAAGTTGCTACTATAGTGTGCTGTGTTGAGTCGACACTACTGACTACTGTATGACTTGAGCCATTCAAGTCGGTACTGTACTGTCAAGAGACTCATCCTCCCTGGTACGGTATGCTGCAGCCCTTTTGACCCTGACAGTACCGTTTTAGGGTCACTGTTCACATACCGTCAAACGCACATACGCCTGTCACTACAACAGGTGACTCGCAGGTGACCCAACCCAAGTCAACCCCTACTGGTGTGAAAACCGAACAGTGACCACAGACCTCCATTTGCAAAGTGAAGAGGGAAAGGATTCCAATGAAACTCCATTGAAATTCTAGTAATATTGGAAAAAAAATTGGCTGATTGCAGTAGTTTCTTACACTGGCAGACATCGAGTACAAGTTAATTTCTCTCACCTCATTTGTCAATCATTACTACATTACTCTCGGTATTACTAAACGACGACAAAATCATAGCCGCCGCGCTAACTACTAGAAGAGAAAATGGCCCCATGGTAAGCTGCTAGTCATTTTTTTCATTGCAATGGACAACGAAATGATATTTTGACGGCGTTATAACAACTTCTTTTTCCTACAATCATTAGGAAAATCAATGAAAGAAATTATCGAAGAGAATTACGTCAATTATCTCGTGAAAGCTCGACCGCTGACCATCCTCTGAGTGGTGTCACAGTAAAACAAGTAATATCCAACCCCCAAAATAACAAGACTAAATGAATTAATAACCATATCTACATCAATCGATATTCTACAATAATCACTACTCATTAGACTATACTAAACCATAGGTGTAATTCTCCACACTAATTTCCAACGGCAGTCTTCATTCCAGCACAATACTGTACAGTAATAGAAAGTAGACTGCAATACCTGATAGATAGTACAAACTTGTTGACTTCATAATTCATTCATGCTGCAAGCCTCAAACAAAAATAAACTCTTGTCCTTCAAAACTAATCTTACTTCATTATTTACGCATATCATCAGCTTCAAAACGACCCCAAGAAAGGGAAAAGTAGCGCAACTAAAACTAAAAGTAAATCAACAGTTCAAACGAGGTCCAACCCGTTGGATGGCAATGATCCATTGTCTGTTGCTAGCTCCGATCCTCTTTCATCAGCTATTTCGGACCCCTTGTCTGCAGCTACCAACGCCGATCCTCTATCTGCAGTCCATACCAAAGATGAGGTAAGATACTGTATGCAATGGCTATTTTATGCTCATGGACAATGTTATTTTTAACGGTTTTGCGGTTGTTATTCCGTTAAGGCGTTGTAATCATATTCTATTCAGTCTAAAATAGGCTACTTTAATTACAGAATAATTGTACTTTGAGCTCAATTTATTCATCTACTGTATAACAAATTCTTAGGTGTACGAGCAAAAGCAAAATTAGAGCCGCCACGCTATTATTTTGCTAAACTTCTATGACTCCAACAGCTGATTTATGCGTACACTAATTGATTATTGCGTTTCGTACAGTATAAACTATTTCCTAATACGAACAAGAAATCATAACCACTTAATTTCATTTCTAGCCTAAGCAGACCGTGTCATCGATAAGCATAAATATCGATGCGTCCTTATACTGTACAGTATATACAGTACTGTAAATTGTACGTAAATAGGTGTTCTGTAGATACAGTATGAAGATCGCTAGTTCCGACTTTAATCATACATATTATATCCATATCCACATTTAATAACACTGTACGTACGGCGTAGACGTGTGCAATCTGCACTATGTAGTGCAGTACAACATTGTGTTACTGGTCCATTGTAGCTCAGTTTACAATTACAAAGCAGCACACCATAGCACTACTCGATCTTGAAGATTGCTGTTCTGTTCGATGTTGTAATCATATATTCATCGAATATAAAGCTACTCTATGAATAGGAAGCAATAAACGCTAATTTAAGACGCATATCGATACTGCTTAGCATAAATTGTAAATAAATTATTTTTTACTTATTGTTAATAGAAACGAAACAGAAGCGGAACTGACGAAAGGATTCAAGATGAGAAATTTCTTTCTTGGAAAGACAAAAGAATTGCTATTTTAAATAAATACACAACCACGGAAAAATTATCTATTGCTACTGTATGTTAAAATCTTAATACAAACTAAATAACATTGAAATTGAAATTATCAATACCGTCATGAAATAGTCGGATTTAAATAGTCATTTTGTTTTTTAACTATTTTTGATGCATCTTTAGAGCTTCTTCACTGCTGATGACAAGGAAAAACGTAAGTTATTGACCTTGATAGTCTCACGGGCTACTTGTGCACTAATGGTGACCTGATAACATAAGATTGCAAACACATTAATGACAGTACTTAGTCTTAAGTCAATGTAAATTATAGTATTCTCATTACTATGATTAAGATTAAGGATATATCGATTTCAATCATACTTTCTTGACAACAATTTAAAAGTTAAAGGAAATCAAGCCGTCACTACGGTTGAAGGAAAGGTCAAGCAACGATTAGAAGAACTAAACAATTTAAATGAGGTTAACAAAATATTGCATAAATCGAGATAACCTTAATTCAATTTGTTTAATGAAATAAACTACCCGTTATCTTTAATTCAGCAATCCTATCACTCTCAGTTTAGAGGCATAGTAATTAATTTTTACCGTATTGCATCATTTAAAGAATGACACTATTACTTCATTGGCATTAGTAGTTAAGTTATTTATTAACTTTTTCATTAGGACTCAGCAAAAGAATTATTAAATCTGAACCAGAATGAATTTATCCAACACATCGATAATATGAATCAGGTATACATAAATAGAGCATAACTGCAGTAAAGCATTACAATTCATACCCGATTAGTAATCAAATTGTATCACCTCTTTCAGGCATTAATTAACGCATGGGAAGCTGATCAAAGAGTTAAGACTTTAAAAATTGCTATTCAAGTAAGTTATAGCACTGTATAATGAACTGGACATACTGTACATGAATATGAGTTATAGCGTTCTTGCTGCTAACTTTGCACATTTGTACCGTTTACGATGGATTATACAGTGTGCGAAATTACTCAACGACGTTTCGGTTATACAATTTTATCCTAGCAAATTTGTGCTAGTAACTGACGTATTGGATACGTTTGGTAAGAAAGCCAACTATTTTTACTATAGTTGTATTTTTTCATTTATGAATTAAGAAACTTTGCTAAAATTCTTAACAAAGAAGACTCTATTATAACGTCTGTTATCTTTGGCTATGATGTAGGTTTTCTAGTTTACGATCGGCTTCGACGCAAGTCGGCTGTTATCAATCCAAAAAGTAACAAATTATCTGAACTACCAGGTATAGTATTCTAATAAACACTATTACCAAATGGCTGGCCTAATCAAATACTTTAAATAACTCCTTTTTTCGGTAGCTTAAATACCAATATCGTCATAACTTACAGTTGTTCGAATCTGTCTCTTACAGAAAATTTCTCACCCAATGACGTACCTGACCAAGCTAAAGAAACTTGCAGAAATTGGTTTTATAAAGTTGCTTCAATTCGTGAATTAATTCCAAGATTGTAATTACACTTTCTACCAATCCTACTACAATAGTATTATGCAAATTAGCTATTGTCATCTAATTCCTAACATTAATCGTCTCGTAGTTATTTAGAATGTGCCATACTCCGCTGCTACAAATATATATCATTAGAGTAAGAATTTTGTTTCATTAGTTTACCAACATACTTGTAATAAATAGTATAATTAATAGAACTTTGAATGACTGAGTAATATTTCTTTTTCTCACTAAATTGCTCAGTGAGCACAAAAGGGTATTGATTAGGCTCGCACGTACGATAGCAGGAATTGGTGACCCTTTGGTTGCTGCTTACGCTAGAGCGTACCTATGTCGAGTTAGCATCATAATTAACTGCATTGTAATTCTAATTCTATTTCACTCAACTAATTTATGTTGCTGTTAAATATCGGTAGGTAGGGATTCTTGTTACTCCTTCCTTACGAGATTATTGCAATTTATGCCTAACAGATTTTTTTAAAACATATTCTCAGGTAACTATAATAAAATCTAAAATCTATTTACGATTATCAAGTACGCCTTGAATACATTTTTTTGTTGTTATTCATATTTTAGTTATCATCTGATGCCGTTCAAAATACACTTGCAAGTCAAGGCATAGGTAAAATACTGAACCCAATTCATTAAAAACATATGCAATCGATCGATATTATACAGACTTTTTGGATTATTCCATACTAAGGGTTAGTCCAGTATTTCGACCTCTACTCACCTGCGGTTGAATGGGTTCTAAAATGTTGTCAGCACGATGCTACAGACGTACGTTAAGTTCTTACATAATAAAAGTCATAGCTTTTATAGTGCTATAGAAAAAAATATTTTGAACATTAATTGTTATAGCCTTTAACTCAAAGTATTATATTATCCGTCAATATATGTTTAGGTTGCTTTAGAAAAATCCTTAAGTGTGTACAAAAAGGAATGCAACAGGTTGGAGACTGTATCTTAAAATTTATCATGCATACAATTAGAATCTACTAATTATTTCTATTATCAATCCCAGTGCACTGGTCTTAAATAGCATGCTAGTCACACTGAAGGCGGAATTTGTCTCTAAACGGTAATAATACAATCTTATTGCTAGATAAAAAAAGTCTCAAATGATTACATTATCTTTTTTCTTATTATTTTTTATGCAGTAGCACTAACACATCTGTATATTTCTGGGTTTTTTAAATTCTACAGTGCTCAAGAATTTGTCGAACTAATCAAAGGCTGTGTTGAGTCTGGCTTTTCAAAAGTAAGATTTTTACATAACGGCTAGAATACAGTGCGATGATTTCTTTTCGGATTAATGGTAAAATTTTATCGTAGCATAATTTATTTGCCAATTTTGGCATGTCCTTGATTGAGTATCCACCTATGGAAGACCAGAAATTACCTGTTCTCTCAGAAGTAAGCTTATTTTTGATCAAAATACCTTATGCAAGCTACATAACATCCTTTCATGAACAATCTATTACTCATTAAGGTTTGGAAAATTGTTATGAAATACAAGGATCCTGCGGTAATGAAAACCCTCATCTATGATCAAATCCTTTTGATTTGTAGATAAGTTCTTAATATTAAAACTACTTTATTTGATGATCGTAGGACTATATGGCCTGCGCTTCTGTTTGGATTGAATATCCTGCGAAATACTTTTCGGTATAAACTATTTGTATGCGCTTTACGTCTAACTATTTCATACATGTGAGCGCTTTCGTAACGCTCACACAGCGTTACACTTCTCACATAGTTATTATTACCCCATACACGAGAACATATTTCCTGTCCCATATATTTAAGACTTATTTTAAATTGAAACTGCAGGTTCGTGAAGTGAACAAGTTATTAGATGACATTATTAAGCATTTACAGCCAGACAGGGCGTTTGAACATTTTTATCCTCAGGTATGCGCAGCCGGACCAATCTATGTTATATTACTTTATTAATCACTTTAAACTGCTAAATAAAATAATGTACCAATATATGAGCATTACAGTTCACCTTAATTTTAAGGACACAAAGTTAACTCATTGAGTAAGGGACTCAGTGTATAGCTTCTATACACCTCCTAATGCTTATTAACCTTCTTTTTTAATACCTTCTTAATTAGTTGCACTCAATCGTAATAAGAATGCTAGATCATTTACATGACTTCAACGCCATCTTTTCAATGGTAAATTGTTTAATATTTCTATAAATTATAACTATTGTAAGCGCCCTGCCAGCATAAGAAAATTTGCCTCTGTTGTTGGAGTTCAAAAATGTCAAATTCTTCATTATTATTATTATTCTAACTTAATTAGGATAAATTTTTACCTTTCCTCGATATGTTTCAAAAAGATTCTACGAAGCTTGAAGTGTTTCGTATTATTATTGATTGTTTCAATAAGTACGTATAATTTAAAATCCCTTTATTGAAACATCTCTTAGCCTATCGCTTATGACTCTAGTTTGAGCTAATTAGGATTCGCTAATACTATAGGTATCAAGAAGATGCAGTTAATGATCCTATGGTCGTAAATGGTTTAATATTTGTGTCTAAATCGCTTCATGATTCTGTAAAGTAAGTGTCATTCTGTAAGCATGAGTTTTAGGAGAAATTCTTAGATCTACCAAAGATCAGTGATAATCTCATCCATACTAGAAGAATCTAAACCATTCCCTTTTTCTAAAGTTCCTTAGCCTTAGAAGATTCGAAAAGAGAAATAAGTAACCTTATCACAGCATTCATACAGAAGGTATGTGTAAATTTATTACCTACTTTCAAGAAATCATTTACCCATAGTTGACAACTGTACCAATGACGCCCATTAAGGTTGATTTTGGCCGAGATTTTGAGCAACAGTTAAATTTCTATGTCGACGCACGCTCTTTCTTTACAGCGCTGGATGCAGTTGTAATACAGCTTGTGCAGGTAAGATCAACTACAAGGTTTACTCTATCACATTACGAAAAAAGGATAATTTCCTAAGAAATTTATTAATCTAATAACTTGCTGTTATAGTGTTTTAATAGCTTAGCAATGAACACCTTGGAGGTTGTCAAAGGCTCGCATACCCATAAAACCTCATCCTTTGTTCGAGCATGCATTGCTAACTGTTTTATCACTATACCTTCGATAACTAATATATTTGACCGTCTCCAACTATATTTGTTGTCGGCAGAAGTAGCCGTAATCAATCAGGCATATCCACAAGGTATAATTAGAGTTTATAGTTATTTTAACCCTCCAAAAATATAGTAAAGAATTATTGATGTTATATTTTGACCGTTGAACATTTTGATATTCCAAGCTGATGATATTTTAAAAGCCACCATACAGCAACTTTTACAAATTCCTCGAACGATGGGTAAACTTTGCCTTAACTAGTTTCAGTAAATATTAAACTGTACTTTTAATGTAAAGTATTTCTGATCATGTAATCTTCCATATTTGTGCATATTATTACTGTGCAGAAATTGATAATCGGATTCGATCTACTGAACCCAAAGTTTTGGACTACCTAAGCCAATTGTTAGGATTCCTCCAATATGTTCCGGTAAAATTATACATATTATCGAAATGAGAGCAGTATAGTATTCGCATAAATCACAATAAAAATAAATAATGGACCGTAATATTTAGGATAATCCAGATCAAGGAGCTTTGTATCTACTCAAGGGCCTCCTAAATGTCTTGCAAAAATACCATTGGGACAGTGATCTAGGAAAAATTAAAATGTATATTAAAACAATTGGACTACTATCCGCAATGTGCCAGGTAAATCTCGGCTTAATGTACAGTATTTGCTATTTACAGTTAGCAAATACAATTTAAATTAATAATTTTATTTTATATACATTATAGGATGGTTACTTGTATCAATTAAAAAATGGTTAGTATGTGAGCATATCATATTACTGTTGTTGTGAACTCACGACCATGAATTTTACTTCATAAATATATCTATTGTAATAATTGTATTGGATATAGTCGATTCCAATGACAAATTATATGGACAAGATAAGAAATTTATTGCAGAAGTTTTACAAATAATTGATACACTGCATGAGGAAATTCGCCAATATATGCAATCAATTTCTTCTAAAGAGGTACGTTGGTGCACGATTTCTATCTCATAGAACGATTACAGCGTCTACTGTAGCAATGGATTAGAACTTATTTTCAGATGGATATATCTCGTCATTTATGGTTATTAGATCTTAGCAATATTAATACTCAAAAATACTAATCAATTATACTCCTTTTATTAGATATTAGCTGATGTTGCAATGCAATATTTTCATTGGTATGTAAATATAACCTTCATGATTGTAATAATTTATTTGTAGTCTTACCAGCTAATGTTAATATTGGACAGTTTAAATTTAAAATAGAGTAAAGTAAGGTGGGTAATTTGACTCGTATGGTATGAGGTATAATTAGATCTGTCTATTTTCTGTTTAACAGTATAATATCCCACGCCGATTTAAGTGATCAGCAAATGATGAGTTTTGCCATTAAATTATGGAACATTGTTAAGAAACAAGGTTGCGTAGATGCCAAAGTGATCGTAAGTATGAAGTAGACTCACAAACAGGTCACGAAGTTCAATCGCTATGTTCAGTATTTATTAAACTTTAGATAATCCAGTGCATCAAAAAATTTCTATTTAGAACCGCACGATAGAGTACCTCAAAGGTAAAGCAAAGCTATCGACTAGTGGAGCCTACGATCAACTTGTTAACAGCATTTAAAAAGAAGGCATCATAGCCATTAAAGCCATTAATAAACTTGTATTATAAGAAATTGGAATCATAAAATGCAATGAAATCTTACAAAAATATGGCAATGATGACACCATTTTTTATTAGACCTTTATTAACTAATAAACCATAATATTATAGTCGTAACAATAGTTTTACCAAAATCACGAAATGAATACTACTGTCAGTTAAATTTTTTATCACAGTTTCTGGTAACTATAATTAATTCTGCAGTACAATGCGTAAAATATCTGTGTAATTGTGTATGTACAGTGTCTTTCTTTACGATAATGCAATCCCTTCTGCAAATATTCTATTCATAAACTAATTTTCAACAGAACCATAGGTTTAGGATAGGTTTATTTCAATTGTGTTAAAGTATTTTAGAACGAATGTAATTAATACTTCTAGGCATAGGCGTTCAATATACATATGTATTTATATTGTCTATATATATACGGTTGAGCTAGAAATTTCTTTTTGTTTTAGTTACTATTTTAATCTTTTAATTTTTTCGCCGTATTATCTTTAAACAACGAAGTCACTATCTTGAAAGCTCCTCGAAGCATTTTGTAGAACCAATAACAGTTCAGTACATCAGCAATAGCTGGTAGAATGATCAAAGCGAACACTTCTAAACTTGTCATAGCATTCAAGACACCCGTTTGCCAATAATGGTAAATAACATGGTACTGAATAGGCGCGAGACACAGTCGCGATAGGAAAAACGAAGCAGTCATCAATAGTCCGTTGATGACGTAGATGGATGTTCCTCTTTCATATTTACAAGCATCTAAGAACCACCTAATTTGAAAAGCAAGGAGGAAATAAAATATAACAGTTTACATAATATCCTTACTTAACAAATTCCAAGCTATAGAAGCAGTTATACAGGATGCAGTATTCAACTGTAAGAATTGAAACTACAAGATTAATTTTCGATTGGCTATAACATGAATTTAGGTTATTCATTAAGACAGTAGCACAATGCACACATTACCTTTGATTGACAAAAGGTGTCGATGCCTCAGATAACATTCTGAGAGCCGATATATAAGGTGCTATTCCTCCAGCCTAAGTGTATTGATTATAATTATGATTACAATATTAACTGTTACAGAAATATCTGGATTTGATTTTGAAAAGTTAAGATTAAGCAATCAATCTTTACTATGGTAATTACAATCTACCAGTTGAACTTGGCATCCTAATACGCCAATAACATGATGTATTATCATTCCGATATCATGGAAGGCATTATAATACCATAAAATAATAGCGAGATCTTGCGCAGGTAATGGTTCACCCGGAAAAGTATAAGAAATGAAGACATTAAAGAAATAGATTTATCGTAAGAATTTTATTCACAAACTTTTTCGTGTCTTTAATTATTCATTAACAAACGACAAATACCTGCTATAAAATACCCATAAGAAATCTGGATACTGGCTTCAAGTATTGAAGGATTACCTCTGAAAATGGATTGAGTAGCATCGATATTACTTTCTGGTATTGGCGTCACCGTACATAGTACCATAAGTGATAGCAATATTGTGGCACTTCTTGTACAGTGTACACAACAAAGTGTATCATATAGTGCAGTCCAGTATATACTACAGCTAGTTGATTTTACATAGTTTTAGATTCTAATTATCTTCAATATGAGTCTTGAAAAATTCGATTAAATTTTATTGCTTAAAACTTTTTATAATTTTTATATAATTTAACTGAATAGACTATTGTTAAATACAGTAGTAATATTTCATCTAGTAAAGTGTAAATTACTGCAGTACATAACTATGTAGCTATATAAGTGAGATCATAAAAAATAAAAGTTACACTTTCGCAAACCCAGAGAACTGAACCTGGCATATGATTTTGTGCAGAATTGTGATGATTGGATGGTACAGACCAATGTGAAATGATAGTAAAATATCTTTTTACTACGTAACAGACACATAGTACCTTATTAGCCTGTGCAATTATAATTACCACTTTGATTCCATATTATTAATTGTAACAAACCATACTATGCAAGTGACATGATATCTTTCTATTTTGCAATAACGAAGATAATTACTATAGCTTTTACGTAAAATATCGTACATAATGAATTAGTTTCATTAATGTTGGCAGTTTCCATTTTAGCACTTTTCGTTGGATCAAGTATACTTGTATAGTATCTAATTTGAGTTACAGCTAAAATCCTTACCGAGGATGATAAAGTGGAACCTGATCACCCAAAGCTATTGTACCACAGCAGATAATAACAATGACAGCGTGAATGTTAGAATAAATCCTATAATTAGAACAGCATGAATTATATATATTATTGGTGTATTAAAATTTTGAACTCAGAATATGAAAGAAAACATAGTTAAAGATAGCCATGCTACTTCTCATGCGATTTTAGAATCTACTCTGTAAAGTAAATCAAGGTCACAACTAATTTCAACTCGATTTGCTGGATTATTACAACTAAAATGGAATATCATCACTAAGAGCAATATTAGTATATATCGCAACTTGCAGTGCAAGCTTCACCGAGAAATTCTAGCTGACATGTTACAATAATAGGTAGATTATGTAAACCTAACTTAGCAGTTATACTGCATTTTGTATCTTGCAAGCGCAAATGTAGACTAAACTATGTAGATTGATTGTAAATATCGTTATAGCATTGCAGTTAGTTATCCAGTTGATTCAATATGAAGCGTATTGATAAAGTTGTGAAACTGAACTATGAATTTTTAGTTTTCGCATTTTAGAGAAAAAATTAATCGTACGCAAAATATAATTTATTGATCGTTTATTTCTATACGTACATGCACATTATCTAGAATCTCACGAATAAAAATACAAAATATTATAAATCCTAACAATGGTGTAGTATGGTCTATGCGTGTTAACTTGAGTTTGCACTACTGTATTGTGTGTGTTATTGTAATGATATAAATTTTACTGTATTGTGTAGGAAAGTTAGTTCTAATTTTTATATCCCATTCGATTGAGTAAGACGGTAATTTACTGCATTTTATCATCACTGTAATAGTTTAAGATGACAGTACTATTTGTATCGTCGATTGCATGTACTAAAAACTTACGCAATCTCTTATTTATTTATAGTTAATACAATCTTAAGTAGTAAATTATGTCGTAGTTTTATTGAATAATAACCCTCACCTGGTATCCCATTCGACTTGTTGGTAGAATGTTAATCGACTATAGTAAGACCAGCATATACTTGATATATACCGGCTTAAAAAAAAGAGAATAAAAAATGAAACGCAACTGACAGGAGCGTAAGAGTTCTTGTAATCAAGAAGATGTCGGTAAATCTGCTGATACTCCATTGATTTCCTTCATTCAGTAAAAAACCAATCAGTACGATCGAAAGACAGATGGATGTTATTCCTATAAACGAAAATCAATTGATAAGATACAGCGATCATGACGATCATTTAATGTATTAAAACTATTAAACTACTTCGATTATCGTCAATGTGAAATGAAAAAAAAAAACAGTAGTATCCTTTATACGGTCGGCTAATATTTCCTACCGCCGGGTTAATAATTCGGTTATCCATCAAAGACCCAGTTGTATACTGTAAACTATGAAATGTATCGCCAAAATAGCCTATGACTAAGTAATGAAGCTGAACATATACAGTGAAATGATGCACTGATCAAAGGTCGAGTTGTGTTAGCCAATCAATCATATGGTGTTAGGTGATGGAATTGGTGACAAGGACAAGGGTAAGCTAAGTTTGCAAATACTGTAGATAATTTATCATACTGTAAATGAGCTTTTCGTTTCACGTTAAGATGGTTTGTATAGATGACAGATGACAATACCTCTTACAACTAACTACACAAGAATGATATCATGAAGCACGAATGCATGATACATCAAGAAATTGCATAACGGCGACATCCAGCAATGTATTTAATTGGATAGAGCAATATGAATGACGAACTCCTATCAGGAATATAGAGGTTTGTCCATTTTTACAGCCATGGCTGGCTGTTATCAAGGTCAAAATCAAGATAATAATATTGATTGATTGTTCAATATGGTCTGCCCTATCCAGATTGAAAACTGTGCAAGCTGATCAATAGAAATACATACAGTACAGCGATGAGCTATATAAACATGAACTTGAAGAGGGTTTGAAGACTACTGCGAGCCTTTCTTCCATCATTCTATTCCAATCGAATCTAGTAAAGTCAATTGATATAACTGCGGTGCAGTAAATTAGCGAGAGAATTTATAGTAGCAATCCTAACAACATGTAATGGATAGATTGTCATATAAAATATCCATCTATACAGTATATACTATATATATATAAATATGCAAGGGGCACCTCCCTCTTCTGTAATTCAAGAGTATCCTTTTCAAAATAAAAGGATACAACCACTCATCCAGCACAAGTATTGATCTCGAATGAATTCCATTGATTCAACATGGTGTGTCTTATCATTTTTATTTGTACTTACAGTATCTAATCTAGCCATTTTAACTGTTATTGATCGCTGTAGATGAAAGAGATGATCCATTTTGACTTTGGGATTGAGATGATATCACGGCCTATAAGCTATGCAACGAATAGCACCCTCGCGCCCATTTGCAACAGTACCCAACCTACTCTAGTGTACAGTATCGACCAGCATTCAGTCTATACTACAGTCTGTAGAACTACCGTAGTTTTGGCATTACAATATACTCTAGTCAGGTAAATAAGCGAAATTAGACTTGCAAACTTACCTATATTAAAAGTTACCAATTCTCTCAATAATATCCACAAATCAATTGTCTTTGCTGCAAAATTTTCAATCTATCGCTCCTACAAGTTGTATTCAGCCAAGATAGGTGATCAAAACCAATAATTAGAATGACTTTAGCTTCAAATGGTGGCTTTCCAAGGCGTAGTAGATTGCTTTTTTAATTAATGAGCCGAGACACTACCACTTGCAAGGTAGAGCATCGTCCATCCTGTCCCGTCCCGTCCATAATGAATTCATACTTCCTTCATACATGGCCAACACTATTGCAATTTGTATAGGATTGGAGTCTAGCGAAAGCAATAGGATGGCATACGCCTCTCGCATTGCATTATGGGAAAGACAGTATGCTATTGTAAATCAATAAGAGAGATCATACGATAATTAATTAAAAGAAATAAAAAAATAAAAATATTTAGAATGGCTCAATCCCAAACAGTTAACTGTTTCTTGCTGTGGAATATCACGTGTTTATTGCATGCTAACTGGCTCTAAATAAAATATCAGTTGTCTGCCAGTCCTCTCCAAGTTAAACAATGTTAATCAAGTAATCCAAGACTGGCAGTATTTTACAGATACAGTACTGTACTATACGTTATCCAATAGCTCACTGTAAATACAAAAAATAACATAGCGAAAAGAGGGACATAAAATGGCCGTTCAGTCAAAGACTTTGTGGAGACAGTGGCAAAAAATGTGCAAGCTTTTCATCTTCCTGCTCATTCTACTACACTACTCTAACCTTGATTGTCTTGTTAAACCTGCCAGCTCTTGATGTGCGCCTGGCGTAGCCAACATAGGGTGCGCTTGCAGACATACTCTATGAAATAATTGAAATGACTAGCAAAATACTGTAGTCAAGCTGTCAATTTGAACCAAACTGAAGGCTTGTCCGATCCTACTTTTATAGTGAGTAAACACTGGTTTATATGCGTTGAGGAACGTTCTACTCAAGATGGATGTTAAACATCAATTTACAGCACTACCGTACTCGAAAGAAGAGACATACGCGTAGACTGAGTGGATACGATCATTAGCCTGCTTTACTGGCTATACTAGCGATGTAGAGCCGACATTTTTACCATTCGGTCGGTAATCGCATGGTAATCTGTATAGTTTCAACCAGGGACTTCCAAGACTAAGACGAGTCCGTGTAAGCCCCTGCTTTTAGCCATGCATTCTAACAACTTTTCATAAATTGGCGTAGGTCTACTCTACAGTTTTGCACAACTCTACGACTGCGCTCCAAATTAGCTGCCAGGTTGATTTCGCACAGTACGATGTACAGTGACAATATCTGCTTCCAGCATTTGCATTTACTTTAATACAGTACAATAAATCTCTCGTCTTCAATTCATACTAGATCTCTGCAAAGGATGGTATTTTCGTTCCCATCCTCACTGTTTTTTTTTTTTCCTGATTTTCTTCCCCTTCCAAGTCCTGAACACTAGTTACTCTTTCCATTACTCGTATGCACTTTATACAGCAAGTAACATGATCAATGACAAGGTCCCTTAGGGATCCTGCAGTTGCAATGTTGTTCTGAAGATATCAAAATCACACTGTCATACCAATAAACCCATAAAGTAGACTACTACATTAAGCAGTTAATATCAATAACGCTACAATAAGTTTATGAGTTCTTAAGTAAGGTAACCGCGTGAATCTGAGTTACTTTCAGCAGAGACTATTTACAAGAGAGGGAGGGAGAGCGCGCGATAGGGGATCACTAGACACAGAACCAATTTGCAAAAAAATGATACAATTTTAGTAACTTTGTAAAATGACATTTCGACATCGTATTTATACAGTATACTAGCTATATCCAGCACGCTTCGTCGTGGAGATATTGTTAACCAGATGCACACTAGTGCACATCAGGAAGATAAACAAGTTGTTGACGATGTTTACTATACAGTATGTATAGGGTAGGGCGAACTTACGAGTTTTACTGTACAGTATGTTCTTAACTTAGTCATACAGTACACAAGGATACTGGCCCTAGATGCCTGTATTATAGAGCCATGCAGGTTAATCGAAAAACGAAAGCTGTATACTAATGCAGCTGGTTCTATTTCTTGCCAATCAATGCAAATGATGATGAATGTACGGGTATAAAAACATTTATAGCAGTTTAAACGAATCGATCCGCAACTGAATACTCTATTACAGTCTACTGCATCTGCAATGAGTTCAGCCAATGTCAGTAGCTATGTATGTCTAAATAAAGTATGTGTTGATTTAAAATGTTGTTATCTGCGCGTTTATGAAAGTCAAGTAGGGTTGCCTATTTGGGTAATTTAGCAAAGCTTGCAGAAGATATATTGTGCAATATTGAGCGCCTACCTACTCCTTCTATTCATAGCAATTATTCGATTTTACTTGAATACACTGTCATGCATTTCTTCTTCTAGTCCATATGATAAACTAGTGCAGCAATCGCTCGCGATAGGGATAATTAATAACATCACTATCATGAAAAGGTCGAAGAATTGATATAAATCCAAAGCATAATAGACTACCTTCAAATTAGCTCACGAGATTTACTTCATCTAGTGATCTATACGCAGAACTGAGAATTTATTATTTGTACAGTATTCTGAATGAGTTACTCGACTTGAGATATATTCAATTATCCTTCATCCATTACTCAATGATATCTATACCCGAAGTCACCAAGTAATCACCTATCAGTAATCAATTATAAACTAGCCATTCCTGTTACTCATTTACTGTCATGGCAGCGCTAAAATTTCAATTCTAGAACTCATTATATTATGAATCGCGGGAAACGCGTACCTTAATTTTTCCAGTATTTCACCTACATGATCGTTACTAGCTAAATTCATAGTGCTCACCTCAGTTATTATTATCTACCTAGCGCATCCAATCGTCCATTTATAATAACTACTTACCAACTGTCCGTATATACGAGTATATAAATACGATACAAATAAGTGCATCACAAATCTTTGAAAGTAATACGGCCAAAACTGCAAGCACGAAACGATCAATTAATTTAAAGACGTATTATAGGACCAATTAAGAGTGAATTGATTCATTATTCTAAAATTTTCGTTCTTCAGTTTTATCGAATGATCAAAGCAAATATAGGTCATAATAATCAGACCCTCCTTTTAATAGCCTATCCACTAATTAGTAAAATTATAAAATATTACTTTGAGTAATTGCAGAATAGTTGTAAGCTAGGGCTCAATTATATTGTAAGTAACGGCTCTAATATTGCAGTAACTGTTCGTATTTGCCGAGATTCAATATGAATTCAATCATAAACAAACAGTAGCCAAGTCTAGTCATGGTTTATGCAATAGTGAAATCGCCATCTAATTTAGTCATTTAAAAAGGTGGAGATTATCTATAGATCGTTCAGCTTCTATCTGTCCTATCCAAGTAGTACAGTAATAAGGCCATTGAGTATGATAATTGGATATCTAATATCTCCTAATTCAGTTAAAATGCGGTACCAGGCACAATTTTAAGTAAATTTATAAGCGCAATTTTACTTCACTATCAAAAAGTCTACACTGATTGTTCAGTATTTATCGGTCCTATTGCACCCAGATAACTATCAAATAAACCCATTATACACTCCTTTTAACATAAAGTAACTATTCTTGTTCCAAATGATTTATTATAAAATATACATGTAGCGTTTACATACATTGATTGATATCTTATACGACAAGTATTATCGTAGGTATACATCAATGTCGGTTAAGTCAAGCATATTAAGTAACATATTCTTAATTCAAGTTTACAGATACCTCTGGTGCATAATACAAATCACACTTGTCATGTTTTATCCTATTTCTTGACTGAGTCTTTACCGAACTGTCATCACTTAGGTACGAATAAATAAACAGATTAAGTATTGAATTTGATCTATGCGATTATCAAATTCTGAATCTAAATCAACTTCAAGAGGCATAAAATGATAACTTTTTAGTTCCAAATGAAATCACTCATCGGTAAATCATATATTGTCGTGAGATATAAATAGTAATTATAATGCTTTTTATCGACTTATAATCAATAATTTATACATTGATAATTTATCATTGAACAGTCCACTGTAATTCAAGATCAGATATATGTTTCGTAAATATCATTTGTTATACTTTTTTTAGTGATATTAAAATTCAAAATTCCGAGGTGATAGTTGCGGAGATATTGGTGATCTATTTAGTGAGGCTTGTAAATTAGGTAAGGAAACGCTGTCTTGAGCGAATCCGAATAAACTCCTACTGGCTTCTTTCTGACGCATGTTAGGAGTCATGGGTACATTACGAGGTAGAAAAAATTCTTCCATATCCTTATAAAGATAAATTAAGAAGGAGTAAACAATGTTAAAAGTTGAAATTAACAAAGATTATATTATAGTATTCCTAACACTAGAAGACGCTCAGTGTTAAGTACTCTCCAATTAAATCACAAAACAGCTACGAAGATGTGCTACCCGTTGAAAATAAACAATGATACTAGAAAAAAATGTATTTACACGATACGTTTTCCGGTTTGGCTATTGAGGTATAATCTATAACTATAGTAGTTAATTTAACTCTCTTCAGATACATACATCTTAGTCAAAAAGTATCTGGACTATAAGGCAGATTAACAAGACATAACTGCAGTAAAATTACATTACTGTGTGATCATAACAAAACATAGGCAAATAACTGATTCCGTGGACACAGATAGAGCACCTAGAGACAGATTACACTAGCATATCAACATATCTAGCGACCACAATCTACTGTATAATACTGTTAGCGAACGCCATGAAAAATAAAGTATACTCTGAGTTAGGGTTCAGACTGCTACCAATTTAAATACATACCGGTGTTTTAATAACTTGAAATGGAGAGCAAGTCTTGCCAAAACGAACAGTTCGATTAATATCTATTTCACCCATATCTTGACGTCGACGACGGCGGCTTTCCATTCGACGTTGATATTGTTTTGAATATTGATCGCCAAGAACAGACTTCAAATGAAATTAGAAAATTGTTATTTACCCATACACTATGATAAAAACTACGATAGCAATACAAATGCAGTAAGCTGATTAGATACCCTACTTGCGCCTATTGCTTAATTAGGAATGCAAGTAAAAATTGCAAGCTAAAATCATTTTCTTACCCTGGCAGAATCTATTTTAGGTATATGTTGTATTAATTCTTCAACCTCTTCATCATTATTCTTATTAATGGTATCATTGGCATTGTTTGTATATTTATCAAGACTATATATACTAGCATCCTTTAAATTCATAGAACTTCTGCTGCTACCTATCATTTGCAATTTAAATTGAAAAGTCACGATTAACCAGGGTAGATTATATTAAGAGATTATAATATAGGTATGATTTTTTTAATATTTTGCATCTGCTAAATTTTATTAATGCCTTACTTAAAAGCTGTGAATCAGAAGCAGTCCATGGAGTTCTACAAGTTAGAATAAAAAAGAATTATTTATGATCGATCTTAGCTTACCTTTCGATATTTAAGAATTCAGATAAGAGTAAAAGTAATGCTGTATCTAATTACATTAACATAAAATCAGCCGTAGTAAATTAACGCCAATTAATATTCAATTTAAAATGAAACAAGAATTTTTACATTAATTTTAGCTTATTTTTAGCTACTTATTTACGGATCGAAGAGTAAAAATAAGAGTCATTCCCCATTTATAATGAAATGATCAATATAGATACCAGTATAATTGCGTGCATACTAGTAACTCATGAAGAGCGATATCATTACTACAGATATACAATAGATTATGTATAGTTAGATGAACCAAAATTACTGTTGTAAAGTGAAATTTTATAAGAAATTGTAGTTACTGCTGTAATATTTAGAAGACACCTTATCACAACTATACCGTATATTTTCTACTGTAATGAAATGTCATTGTACTCTCAAGAATCAATAACTTAAAAATTGCTGCTACGAAACATTGAGTATTACTTTCATTTTTATCCGTTTATTTTGATTATAACTTACTTAGGATGTTGGTAAGTCGAAGGGTCCTTTAAATCCCACTTAATCGCTTGACCAAATGTCCCAACGTAATGCCCGCCAGCAGTCCAAACTCTTGCTGTTTGATCAACTGATGCCGTCAATAAGAAATCGTTTGCTGTATGGCGAATATATTGGATACTAACTACAGCAAGATCATGTGCTTTCCACCGAATTAATAATGGGGGTTCATCCTCCTGTAGTTTGATTAGAAGTGTTAATGACTACGATACATAAAAATGAATTGACATACATTACCACATTACTTATGTACAATTTATGATAAATAGAATATAACAAGGAATTAATTAAAACGGTCATATAGGTATAATAAGGCATCTATGTCTATGTCACTTCCTGCAACTAAGCCCAAGGCTTGAATAATAAGGACTTCATAGGAATGACTATATTTTTATTCGCTAAACTAAACTATGTACTTACCACGATAAACTAATAAAGCATGAAGTTAATTTTGTATTATTTATACTCTATCGATACTTTACTCATACTTTACTAAAATATTTCTGTGATGCAATAATAAACTTAAAGTGTTTTATTTTCTTATTTTTTTCATCATTAGCCAAAAAATGTGAAATGTAGTGTAACCATTTAAAAAGTAAGTAGTTATGCATCCTAATCAACAAACTATCGAATAGCTTGATCTTCAACAGACCCAAAGCTTTAGTTACGAGTGATGACTCGTTAGCTTTAAACTTTTCATAGTGTAGTAGGCCATAGCTTACCGAAAGAATATCAGGCAGACAGAAACTTGTGATATCCCAAATACTAACATTACCACCACTATCGCTTACGGCCAAGATCTCGTCGTAGGAATCGACATGGATACTTAAGATAGTATCTCCGCGTTCTTGCGTTGCTCTAAAACTAGCCAGACCTCGACTATCCGAAGATAAGATATTCCAGAAGTAGATTTTATTATATTGGCTAGATATGAGATGACCACAGTCAGGGTTTCGAATATGAATTCGAGATTTTAAAAATGCCAAATTCTCTACCGCATGGCGCCTGAAAACAGTTAAGATAATGACGAAAAATGTTTCATACTATAGCTTAAATTTACAAAATCTATCTATTTAAATTATTTAATCTTTAATGAACAAAACAAGTAGTCATCCATACTCTAAACAACAGTTGGAATATTAGTGAAAAATATTCGTGTTATATTACATCTTTAATTTATAAAATTCGTATGTCCATTTTTTAGCACTTAAGATGACTAATATCTCTATACCATATCTATTTTCGGCTTTGGCACTTATTCAAAAAACTAGAGGTACTATTTGTAAAATATACATTGCTACAGCCTCACTGCTAACAGTCAGTAGACTTTATGATCTACTACGATTATGTAATAAGTAGGAATGTAATCAATACTTTTTTAGCTAATTTCATATAACGCCGAGATTAATCCCAATAATTACTGTAAGAAATCAAAAATTTCATCTATAGCAGTAACGCTTGTAGTAACTATTTTACAATACCCTATCTATCCAAAATATAATCGATCTCTAGCTTACCCTGGTCCATGTCGACTGTCAGTATATCCAGAGTTGCTTTTACTTGATCTATATCGAGAGTATGAGAAAGAGCGATCGATTTCGGTTATTAATTAAAATATAATTAGCGGCTGTAATAAGAAGCAGCTTGATTTATTTACTGAGAAGGTATCATCCTATCGTTACCTTCTACTACTTTTGGATGGCTTTCTTAAACGACGGAAAACACTTTCCGTATCGGCTAGCCAAATCACAATTTCCCCATCAAAACTACCAGTGGCTACATAATGTGGAGGACAGTAGTCAATACTAAGAATATCCTCCTGGGTTAAGGATTGGAAAGGAAGGCAAAGGATTAGCGAAAAATCTTCAAAATTTAACTGATATATCCAGTATAGATTCATGTCAGATTCATAAATAACCTTTTATAATATCATACAGTGTGATAGAAATTGATTGGCTTCTTATAACCGCTAGCGTAATATACATCGTGCTATATTCAAATTCAATAAAACTAACATTATCATCCATCAATTATTGTTACCTTGTGTAGTTGGCCTCCTTTCCATTCCATTTGAGGATCAAGATGAAAACTCTAATTTAAATTACATAAAAAGTAAAAATGATTAGAAACATAAATTATGCAATTTTACGTTTCCTTTCAACCAAAATTGCTCAAAGTATTACACTAATGCAAAATCTCTTTAGTGCACTATGATTATACTTTAAATTGAATACTTAAATTCTGTTCTTAACTAAAATCAAATAAATATGATATTACTGAAACATCTTTTAAATACTTTATAGTATATTTAGAAACTAAACTGCGTATTAAAATATATTATATCTTAGATCTAATATGGCATTGCCGTTTAATCTTTCGCGAATACTGCAATCATAGCTTAAATCATGGACTACTAAAAAAGGCTGACATTTTTTTAGTAGTCCATACTTAAATGTACTCTTCGTTTAGATTTTAACATCATATGAACTTACTGTAAGATCCTTCTCATACACTACAATCTTTTTACTCCATCCAACTGAAATGAAGCAGTTGTGTTCCGGGGCATCGACCACTCCGGTAATTTCGTCAGAGGTTGCTGGTTCTAATCTATGAAGGCAATGGCCATTGGTAAAATTCCAAACCTACATTAAGAAAAGGATTTTATTAACATAGTGAAAAATTTTACATAAGCGAATTACATCAATTTTAATAGAATATATTTATATTATCCATTGATGGCATAACAGAAGGACCAAATATAAATTTACCGTTATACTTCCGTTGCGACTGGCGTTCAATAATCGCTTTTCATCAGCATCAAATCTCATATAAGCAAGTTCTTCTTGATCATGAGCAGTTGAAAACTGGATTATCCTTTGGCCACCCTCAAAATCCCAGACTGATACTAGTGAATTAGTACAGCCAACAACAACCTACAACAGATGGATAAAATATAGCATTTCGTTAACGAGATGTACAGGAGATGTGTTCATGGTATCATGTTATACATTTTTAAATCGTATGCTTAAGATTGCTATCGCATCATTTTAATTTAAGTTACAATGATAGAATATTTTACAGCAATATCGAAATTCGAAATCAAGAGATAGTTTTATAAATTATGGTATCACCTGATTAAGTCTCTTATTATACAGCGCACTGCGCAACGGTCTGGAATGAGTAACTACATTTCGATGCCTGGTACCAATTTGATGAGAACTTTGCATCTTCATTTCCGCAATAACATCACTACAGGTAATTAACAAAGTATTTAATGGAGATGCTTGCAGTAAGAAAACATGGGAGAAATGATCGGGTAGCCTAGCGTCCAATGGAAACTTCAGGTTGATAGAGTGTAGGCAATAGTGCTCTTTAATACACCAAATCCTTATTGACTACAAAAAGAAGAAGAAATATCAATGTAGCTAAAATATTTATAGTAAATACCACATATTCCTCATTTCTATCGAATAAATGAAAGAATAAAAAATTAAACGATAACAAAATACTAAATCCACCTTAATTTCTAAAAGACTACTATCTGATAAATTAACATGTGACTATATTAGATTTAGATTTAGATTTAAAATTGTATATTAAGCTAAGATAGGACTTTTTAGTTGAATATTTAATAAAAATTAGGCGATTAAACGATAATATAAAGGCTATAACATTTTAACAATTTCCTCTGGGCTAACATTTATTTACCACGTAGAATATATGAGAGATTTTTGTGAGTATTAGAAAAAGTCATGATGATTTCTTCAAAATAAATTCTATTACATTTACAAAATTGCAGCGATATAAAAATTATGATTCATGTACTAATTCCGTCAGATATAACAGATTAGTTTTGTTATTGTTACCGAATGAACTAGGAAAACTCATTCTAATAGCCGTAATTTCTATCCGAAGTATTCATAATTAGTGGTCTGCAGTAATTACTGAGATTATTTCAGTTGGTGGATAGAACATGAAGACTGCACTATGCCTTAGCAATTATTGATGAAATGATAATAGAAAATAATTCGATTGCGTTCAAAGAGCATACGTATTTAATTATAGTAATCGAGATTATGCATCTATTATACTATATATATATATATCAATTAAGTTATCATTATATAGGTCTCTTTCAACATCTCGGTAAAGGCACTAGTATTGATCAACTTTCATTGTGTAACTCCGATCTAAATACCAGCTGATATATAGCATGACGTTACTTTTAAATCTACGCATTAAGAAATTCTGATAGAATTTTTACCTCTTCCTTTGCGAAACTAAGGACCAGTCCTTGATCTTCATAGATTACTACATCAATAACTGCCAATTGATGCCCTTTCATGACCGCTACGGGCTTATTTGTCACATATGGATTCCATAAGCGCACTGCATCTGAACTTCCTGTAGCAATAATGTTCCATAAGAGGCTAACATCGAAGCAATCGATTCCCTAAAAAAAGATCCAGAATTACCTTACCGTGAAAAGATAGATATAGTCTACTTCAAAGCAATTTTAAGAAAACCCGCTTCTCTTCCAATAAAATGATTAGTCCATTTATCAAGCAAAGAAAAGATTTATAGCTTACTAGCAAATGAGCAACATGTGCAGGTATAAGTCATTACCATTCATTATATTACATATTACATATTGGATTAGATATCTGGATGTACTAACTCTATCAATTGTAAGCTAGTTAGCTTCTTACACATAACTAGAAGGAATAACTCCTTAAAATCATTCGCTACTATCACTTTTAATAACAAATTGTTCAATCTACTACGCCATGAAACTAATAACCGAATTATGCTATACTAAGGAAACTGAAGCTTTAAAAGGTAAGCTAAACGATCAATACTATGCCATTTATTTAATTCCAATCCATTACAAGTCATTTAATTCGCCAATAAGTAATAAAACCAATGATGCAATAGCGAGTAAACTGGGAGTTCAGATCATTAGACAATTATCAAATATTGTAATCTCTTGTTAATATTTCTTTCGATCATAATGTTCTGAACTTGCTAACGCATACTATAATTTATAAAACTGATCGTACTATATCAAGAAAATTAGACTTTCCAAACAGGAAATTAATAGCAGATTAATTTTTAAATAGTTTCAGTTAAATAGCTGATAAACAAGTGGAGTTAATATGATTCTTTAATGCATTTCAATTTCCTTCAAATATGGCTTACTTTTGTAACTCGGAATGTATAAGGTTTTTTCTTCTTATCAATATCTCGAACAACTAGGGAATCTTTACCATTGCTAGAACAGGAAATTATACTGGAATGTGTTGGCAGATATTTAATTCTCCTAACCCAATCTTTATGCATATCTGTTAGAACTTGCATTTGAACAAATTCGGACTGATGATCCAGATCCTGCATAATTTTGAAAGAAAGCATCCATTGAATTATATTAATCTATCACTTATTCCTATCAGTAGAACAACTCAAGTATCTGTGATGAATTTCCACCTAGTCAAGCATAATTTTTACGCTCTTTTAAAGGTCGAAACCTAAGACTAGCATGTTATTAATGCTACCTTGGCAAATATTTGATATGTTCGATCTCGTCTTATTTTTGCAGGATCATCAAAAAGTGCAACATGAGGCTTATTAAAGTATAAAAATGTCACATTTCCGATATCATCACCATAGATTAAAAGAGATCTTGTATCAAATACCTGCAACATAACCCAAAATGACGATTACTAACATCTAATGATATCCTAATCCTCATGAATAGAATTAAATGAGATTCTATAATAATAAGATTCCTTTTGGATAATATTACTTACTAAGGGATCAAACCAATAATCGAGGCATAATGGGACAGATGGTAAATCTAGTGTATATTTACAGAAATAGTACGGTACGATCAGAATTGTTTCTTCATATAAAGTTTACAAATGAGAAAATTGACTTATGAATATTATAGACTATTTTTAGTGCAATTCAAAATAGGACCATCATATATAGGCATATATCCAATACTAAATCCAATAAATAGAATCTAGACTAGCGTTATAACAAAAACACTTCTTAACTAAAGCAGCCATGACGCATAGACATGGTAATTCTGTAACTTACCGAATAAATGAAATTGCTTCATTAACGTTGTTGTCGTGGTGTCTAAAAAGTACAAGTCCCGACTTGTCGTCGATATAGCTAATTTATTAATATTTTTCATGTAGACGGCATCGGTAACCCACAAATTTAATTTCTTTTTTGCTTCTTCATTACTAGTGGGTGATAGCTGAAGACACTGAACTAATTCTAAATCAACTCCCCATACACCAATCGTTCCATCCTAGATAGAAATGACGTATTAGTTAAGATTATCATCTAAATAACTGGCAACTTAAAAATACTAGCGCTAAAATAATAACTATTAGTTGCAATCTCTCTGGTAATTGAAAAATTATAAGGAATTATTTAAAATCATCTAGCAAAATACTAACCTTTGATACGGTTGCATATCGATTGGAATTTGAAATATACAATATTCTAATGATAACCTCCTATAAGTTAAAAATATTTGCAGTTCATAATATAGTTAGCAATAAAGACTGGCATAAGTTGTAAAAGTATCAATAACGAGATATCGATTAACATATAATTTATTTTTCTGAGATATAAATTATTGGTACTATTTGTCAAAGGGGTTAAATCTATCAATATCTTATGAATAACGTAAACTGTTAGACAGTATCTTTTATACTTATCATTAAATTTCGTTTTTGAGTACCGTATATCAAGTTGTTGATAATCAAGTACCTTATTCATACGAGGATCCGAAAAAAATTTGGGCTTGCCAATAAATGGAGTTTCTCTGTTATGTTTTTCATAATCAAGCTCCTGATATTGTAATAAAGTATATGTACAAAAATCTTCCCAGTCGACTAGGCCATCACATGTAACATCGACCTAAGTAAAGACAGTGCCAATAAAAATCTTGAATACCATTTATTTCGTATATTGACATAGTATAATCTTTAGATTAAATTAAACACATTATTTTATAGGTATCATAAAGGATAACACCAATTGCATCCATCAATTATCATTTAAGCTTATTACCTTAGAAAATATTTCGTCCAATTGGCGATTAAATTTCTGCGTTCCTAGTAATTCAATTAACGTCCGTTTAAATTCTAGCCTATTCATTTGACCTGGCTTCTTTCTGATCTCATTAAATTCTACATCATTTTTTAATCTTTTGCTGCCTATATTATCTTTAGCCCAAGCTAGTCCTCGCTGTCGTTGAGATGGCGAACCAGGCGTTATTGAAAATCGATCCATTAATTCCTGGAAATTGTTTAAACTCAAGTGTTGCTCAATACGGGGACAAGCTTCATCTCGGTCAAAACTATTTAATGAAATTGTTCTATTAATTATCTTCGATTTCGTCATTTCAATAACTCGAGTATCATAGAGCAAAGATTGATTTAAATATTCTTATGGTGATTACCATCACTTTAACATTACTGTTTTGAATTGTAAGAGTATTGTAATTACTTGCCTTTTAACCACGGTGACCGGTGTCGAGCGCTTGGCCACTTTATCTATAAATTTATTCTGTAAAAATAAAAGCATATAAGCCTATTTAGCAATTGAGTTTGGAGAAATCTATTCCTCCCAATAATTTATTTGTAACGCCTTTTGGGGTATTTATCGACTGCAGTCGTACAATAGTAATCCATTAGCCTCTAGATAGACTTACTTTATACTGATTAAATAAATTGATTTGATATTCAAGATAATTTTTGGCTAGAGTAATTTGATATTGGGGTTTAAAATGTGTAATGCAGGCATGAATAAAAAGCTTAGACAACCTCTACTACTGATATTGTACCATATTCACTATGATAAAAGTTAGCAGAGAAAAAATAAATTGATTGCTTATATTAATTACGACTATCGGGATTAGCATGTGGCATACTGTCTTAATCCGCTCTCAAAATGATCCACATACTACTAATCAGGATTAACTGTATTATACCAGCAATACGTATATATGAGGTTATATATTAATAAAGAAAACTCTAATAAAAAGAAATAACATAATTATTTATTAATTGTGGCGATTTAGATAAATTTCGGCTAAAATTCATCATCAGACTGAATTGCAGTAGTCAAAGAAAATGAAAAATCTATCGATGCCGTTTTAACACTTCAATAGCATGATTTCGTCATTTAACCGCCTTGTAGTGGGATAGTTGATTTGCTATTAAATTGCTGATTATTCCCTACACAGATCTTTCATACGTATATAGTCTAATATTGAATATCAATAAAGAAGTACTAAAACTATGATTCTATATACTGTAATTTATCACGCCATAACGCCTACCGATATATAACTATGAAAAAGGTTATCGATATCTTTCTAAAATTTATCATTAATGGTAGAAGTAAACATTTAAAATTATAGAACGCAAAATCAAAGCATAGATTAATTCCTAAGTGGTACTTAGATACAAACATTATTTATTTTAATGGCAATACGGGGTTGCTAAGATTGTGTATCTTGATAAAAATAGTAATAATGCTCTCAAATTACGAACTATCGCTAGGATTAGAATACTTATATAGATACTTTATCAATCATCGTTCTTTTGAGTATATGTCATATTCGAAATATGTACCCTTTCCCGATAAGAGTGAAGGAGCGTAAATCAGAGAATTTATAGTGCACGTATTAATATAGTAGTCTCTTTGGCAAATTGAGATTATCTAATGAAAAATGTCAACTTTGCGTTAATCAATTTACAAATATTAGGGGTTAATTAATTAAAATTGCATCCATTCATGAACTATTCGCATTATACAAGGTGATGAATTTAGGTTAAAACATACAGTAAGCCTTACAGATGACGTTAGAAATTCATTTTAACATCCAACGACTATAATAAAATTTCTTCGATTTGCTTAAAATCAATGAAACTAACCATAGCTGTACATGATAACAATCAGCAATGAATCATGGGTGGATTATGCACGAGATATTTATACCATTAATAGTAGAATAAGTTATGAACGCTAAAATTTGGAACATCGCTGGATTTATTGACTCTACTACCGTAAATTAAGTGCTATGAATTATTTCTTTCCATAATTAGAATAAATCAGTCTATATCGATTAATAAATATCTTACATACTCGAATGTCAGTCCATCGTTTTCTAGATTTCTTAATGTAGCCACTATTCGATGATGTTAATAAAGCGTTCATCAAAGCATAAATATCGCCAAGTTTCCCCGTGGCATCCTTTTTAGCGTTCTTATCGTAATCGTCGTCGTTCATGGTGATTTCGTGGAAATTTTTCAATATACAAGTAGCTCAATCCAATAACTATGCAATCATACGAATTGCCTAGAAAACCGACCATATGATATACGTATATGCATATATTTGTAAATAAACGATAATAATATTTTATCTTTATAAGAAGACAGTTCAATTAATTAATATAAGATTAATTGTAATAAATATTAATCTCACAGAGTGAGTAATACATATGATCAATTGCTATCGACAGTAAGAGCAACCTATCTCATTGGTCTATTACAGTTTTGATAACTATAAAATTTCTTGAATGTTCAACATACTTATCTACTTATGTACTCTCTTTACTACATAATTACACTAAAAAGAACTTCATACAAGGCTAATAAAACGATAAACATTGGAGTCTAAAAGATTTAGGATTAAAAGTAGCATGATTGCAATAATAATAACTAGGCATTTAAGGCCAGAAAAAAGACACCATATTATTTCTAAGAAATTATACTTACCTTCGTTAAGAAGAGATTTTCGAAGAAATTTTTATCATCCCAACTTTAAGTATGATGCAAAGAATGGACGAAAAGGACGAATCGTTGAAGGTCTATGCTAACTTAGCGCTTATCATAGATCAATACTTTTAGAAAGACTTTATGAATTATAGCTTTTCCTAATACGATATTTACACTACATTATAAGTAAGGCATAAAACAAAATAGATTTTAAAAGTTGAAAATGGCCGAAGATAAAGAGATATAGCCGAGAATAAAGTAAGTAGATACGTGAAAAAAAGGAAATTTATGCCCAATCTAGACGTCCTTTATAATTTATACTGGCATACAAAATGTGCAATTATGCAGTTCTTACGTTGCTATCATTCACAGCGTAAACCACGACTAGAATAATATTATTAAAGCATATTAATGCAGTCATTGATAATTGGAGATAGTATCTGCCATAGTAGTCTAAGATCTGATCAAGCACATCAAAAAGCATCCATAGTACTAAGAACACTTTACTCTATCCTATAGTATAATGTCTTACATTAATACGTTAATGAGATATCAACATATATCTAAGGCAAAATAATCATTTTCTGTGGTTGCCATGGAGATTATTTTGTTACTAATAGGCTATTTACAGATAGTTTATTCTTTTCCTAACTATTGTATTGTTATAATATCAGTTCATAAATCTAGACTAAGGATTTACTATGATTCGCTATGAAGATCGCAAACAATTATCATCCTGGTCTTCATTTGACGAATTTTGTGGAAATGCTTTAAATTTAACATAATTATAATTATGAACTATAAATTTTCACGTAATTTTCTTCGTTTAATTAGACGATTGAATATGTTATATCGAACAATTTGCAGCTTGGGTTACTAATAACATATCAAGATAGAATTTTTCCAGATTGTTATTCCGCTCTGGAAATATTATATTAGCTCAATTCTACAAGGATGATTGAATGTACTGGACATTGTCCATACGGTACTATGTACGATATGATACTATATAAAATTGTTAGATAAAATCTCGAAAGCTATACTTGCGCAAAGTCATTAATTTGACATACTAATTGGTGTCAGCAACTTTACATACGAGTATACGTATTACGAATACTATTCTTACTGAAGTATAGTATGTTGTCCCTCTATTGCGAGTTACCCATGCCACTCAAAATTGCATACCGTATTTAACTGTAAATTCAATGATGACGATCGCTGTATATTAGATAGATTATAAATAATATCATTTCTGCTAAACGAAATGCAGGATTTAAATTTTGCATCAAGGTGACTGGATCAATAGCAAATCCCACGTAGACAATGTTGCAATATAAAGTATAATTATTACGAGAGGGGATTCAGTAATTTAAATAATACTAGTAATATAATTTGTTATATCAATTATTCTCAACCTTGAAATACATATAGAACAAAACATTCAACGAGTTATCCAACGATTAATTTAATACTGAACAGGTCAAATAATTTTAATAACTATGACTCAATTGAGTTTGATACATAAGCGAGAAATAGCAAAAGCAATTTTTTGTCTAGAGCACCAATTCTTAGAATTTCCCTTTGAAAATTTAAAATTTTGAATTACTCTTCAAAGAAATTGCGTTTAAGCTATTTGATTTAAATAACAGATTAAATTTAACTTTTACCTACAGAAAAGGTAACGATTTTAGCTAAAGAAATAGCTGCCTTAAACAATCCAATTACAAGCTAAAAGTTTAAAAAATGGACTAACAAAATTCTATGTTGGATATTTGCTATATAAATGATTACAGCTATTATTCCATTAGAAATGAACCTGAAATCAATATAGTTTAAGTAAAGATTAAAAACTCAATAAATGGAAAGTTTTCTTTATTGAAGGCGAGTTAAAGTTTGCATGTCTTAAAGTGATTGATTGTTATTGTATCCTATATTTTTAACCTAATATTACTGATGCCAATAAAAGCAATCTTCGGCTGCATAATCAAAAATTTTAATAGATTAAATCTTCGATAATGGGTAAAGCTATTAATTTAAATAGGATTGATTTCTTTTTAACTTCTGATCAAAAGTTATTGTTTAATTCAATCTTATTTCAATGGAGAAAATTGAACGGGAACCAAGATTTTCGATGTTCTACTGATAACGGATGGATGATCTGCAACATTTGAACGATGAGAGTAATAATGTACCGTAATCGTAAATCATTCAACACGTATAAAAGTTTGTAATTTCTCACGAAAATTATATTAACGCATCATAATAATCACCTAATTCTGCTATGCTATCCTTGGAGTTTTTCTTGATGTTGTGTCTTTCATCTAAATCATTAAACCTCCAGAGTAGGAACACTATTCAAAAAGATGTTGTATTATACAAACATAAATTTGAATTTTCTAATACGAATAATGTTGTAATTACTCTATTCGAATCGCAAGCTAAAGCCTTACTTGTATCTAAAGGTCCATGTTCTGTCTTCCAGATTCCAATCAATTTACTGGAATCATTATTCTGAGAGGAAACCGTTTTTTTTACGTTCGTCTCCAAATTTGAGTACTTACTGGCGGATGATGAAATACTTTGCAATTCATAAACACCTTTAATTGATCCAATTGGATAAGATACGTTCATATACCGTAATGTATTAAAGATGAAAGACAATTAAAAATAATTAAAATACGGATTGTGAGTAAAGATTAGTTAATATTTTAATGACTATTAAAAAGATAACTGAAATCGTATTCTTAGGGATATTTACGAGTGAAAATGTTGTAACTGTACCTCCTTGTTGATTGGATGATTGAATAGGATACCATGGTAGAGGAAACATGACAACATTATCCTATAATAATAATAATAATACCATACCTTGTAACTGATGAACTTTTCAAGAGATTAATAAGACTTCATTCATATTGTACAGTTTGATGAATTGCGATAATTTTTTAGAACTATTTGACATAGCGAAATTGATCTAGCACACGGATGGTCTCTATATTAATTACTTTTAAATCCTATCTATTTTTTCCTCCATACACAATCCAGCATTATCGCGCAGGGATGTAATAGTTAACATTTATATCCAGTACTGTATATTCAACTAGCGTAAATAGTCCATCATAGAGGAAAAAGACGGTGCTATTAAATTGAAACTGGATCAATCAATCAGTTATCTTATGACTTAATGGTAGATTCTCATGGGGAGTATGGACAGTTAAACAGTACCGTAGATAGAATAACCCTCATTTAATCATAAATGATGAGAGAATGACAATACGTCTGATAAGATGAGAAAACCTTTCCAAGCAAGATAGCATAGGTATTTTCAAGCTGCGATGGATAAGAGTATCTATAATCACTTTTTTCTGAGGTCAGTGTGTTACAGGATACAGTGTAATTAAGAGAATTTGAGATTGAAGGGAAATTATGTTGCCAATACAGTTATGAGAATGATATATTAAGCGAAATCCATATTGATTACTGCTAGAAAAAATCTTTTTAGTCGATATTTTCTTGTCATTCGTAACGTTCATTAGAATACTTTGACGATTGTACAGGTATTTCACTATCTTTTATGCTGTAAATTCCAAATACACGATCGCTGATATTTGAAACTTTTCAATTTTTACTAGGCTATCAGTCCTTGTTGTATAATTTATTTAATAATTAGCATAGAGGTCTGATTGATTTGGAGGTGGTGGAAGGAAAATAAAATAAAAAAAATGAAATCATTTAATCAAGCTTTGAACGAATGTCTTACCTGTTGAACCAATTTTTTCATCATGATTGAAATATAGTTACTAATCCATTGCGGATCATCAGCTAAGGCCTTTCTGACATTTGTTCTATGTTGGAAGGTATCTATAAAATTATAAACAAAAATAAAAAAACGTTGTACAATACTGGAATTTACAACAGCATAGATAATAATAATTCTTCTAATGGATAAGAATACTGCCACAGTAATAAGAGAAAGGGCTATTACTACAGTACTACGTCGATTCGTCCATTCATGATTATCATCGTAGTTAAAAGTATTCTTAAGAAAGTAGCACTATTTCAGCTGTGGGTTAAGTAACATGGAATAACCGTATTCCCAGATATGGACAACTTGATTTAAGCCACCGAGTTCGCTTGTCCAATATCCAAGTAATTTGGAATGGGCGGTGCGCAAGTGGAATTGCTCTTGCGTCAATTTGAGAAAATTTCCAAATTCCGCAGGTTGTATTGAATATGTTCGCAATTCGTACATTTTTTGTGCATTGCAATTGGAGGTATGCAGTTGATGACGATGTTGACATGATAACTGCAAGTAACATTTCCTGGCAGACTGAAAGCGTCGAGGGTTAAGCCACGCCGCCATGATTGATTGTAATGCTGAACTTTAGACTTTTCGTGGATAATTATACAGTATATATGACAATAACAAATATATAATCATTAATCTGATCACATCCAAATATCGCAGACAGTGCAGGCATGCGCGAGTCTAATCTTGATTTGATATTCTAAGTTAACAGCATGGTTAATTCCTTCCTTCCCAGTTGAATGAAGGACTGGTGGATTTTTTTACAAGTTCATGATTTCACGACTGTACTGTACAGTACTGTATAAGATCATCGCTATATAGTCGCGGAAATACCTCGATTAAGTGCAGTATTTTATTTCATTAAGGGGCATTTCTCAAATTTGTAAATGGCTTCAATTTAAAAGAGAAAAGACAGCTATCTCCTTCAGACTGAAATCATTCATAATTTCGCAAATGCTCCTTTCTAGAATTGAATTGATTAATCATGCGAATACTCTCCTTGTAGCAATACTTTTCAATGCCTTTTTTTACATAGCTTTGCAGTAATGAAGTTTGATTAACTTTAAAGGGCATCACTAAAACGTAACACAGTGTGCAATTCAATATTTTATTTTTGTAGTTCTCTTCGTGTCGAACGCGATCTATTCCTACTTATATCAATCCATCAATGCAGTAACAAAAGGCAAATACTGCATGTAAGTAGAACCATTTTTCGCCTTCTTTACAGTGAATAAATTTCCAAATATCACACTGTACTGAACACTGAGTCAGTGTACATGAAAGGTTATTGCAATTTTTCCGCCAAACTGACAGCTAAGGTCTAACCCTCTAAAATGAATCTCCTACTTCCAACAAATGTTATAAAAACAGAAATACTAATCATTCATCTGGATATAATTAATCATCCCAACTCCTATTAGCTAAATACTGTACCATCCATTTTGAAATGGGGCGTACTTTTTTTAGTAGGTTGCAGTACCTATTACCGTAGTTATAGGAGATTGTATGAACCTATCGTGTAATCGCCAGCCTCTCACTTTTTATTCAATCAATGAAGAGTCGATTTTGAAGTGTGGATAAAATCGCCAACTCATCGAAAAGTAGCGTAGTACATGTCCTACATTGTATAAAACTCAGTCAAAGTCTCCCCGAAAAAAGATCCATTTTCTCTTCTCACCATGTTCATACTATACCACTAGCAATGTTTCGCTAAATGCAGTCTACTGCACAGTAGAATGGAGGGAACTCTATTCAGTATGGATTGCATCGAACAAAACTTTGAACTTTTCCTTTATTCATTCACAATTTATTGAAGACGTGATCGTTATTTGAGGATATTGTACGCACGTACCAGCAATGATTTGTTCAATTGATGTTCTTTCCGGGATCGTATAAGCACATGGACTACAAATTTACCTCTAAGTTAAGCGATTTCAGAACCTGTGTTCAATTAAGTTTTGAAGAACATGCATGTCCACTGTGCAGTGCTGAGGGCAACCCGCAGGAAAACATACGAGTACTGTCGTACTGACCTCCGTATAGAACATCCATTTGACCACGATTACAAGGGTGTGGAGAGCCCTGTAAAATGGTTGAAAGATGTTCAGCAATAGTGTTGCTTTCAATTATATCTTTCAATTGTGAAGAAATAGACTATCCATTTGGTTGCAATTGCATGCAGACAGATCAGTACAACCTTGAGCCATTGGCTCTTGCTATTTTGATTGCTTTTGATCGCAGTCTGACATCATTCTATTTCTTTCAAGTTTCGAATATAAACTACCAGTTGCTGTTACTGGGTCGCTCCAAGCGTTGAATAAGTCACGTCGTTCTACCGGTCTCCAGTACACAGTGTACATACAGTACAGCAGAAAGTCTCTAATACTGTACAGTGAAGAAATGGACTTTCCATTTGGTTGCAATTGCATGCAGACAGATCAGTACAACCTTGAGCCATTGGCTCTTGCTATTTTGATTGCTTTTGATCGCAGTCTGACATCATTCTATTTCTTTCAAGTTTCGAATATAAACTACCAGTTGCTGTTACTGGGTCGCTCCAAGCGTTGAATAAGTCACACCGTCCTATCTGTCTACAGCACACAGTGTACAGTACATAGAGAGTCATTAGAAGGGTCTGTACTGTACTGTAGTACGGTACAGTGTACGTACACTGTAGAGAGAAGTGAAAAATAGTGCTGCGAAAATCCTGATGAGCCTGTAGAATCAGTGCTGTATTTGCTGATGAAACTGATCTGTTCACTGTCCAATTTGAAGAGCTTTTCGTTATGATCTTGTCGTTCCTATTTCGACTTTACTCGCTGACGTCTACAGTACAATGTCCAGGCGAGATTCTTTCGTCTTCCATTTCTTTCTACAGTACTGTGCTACACTGTACAGTACAGTGTGCACTGTGCGATACAGTGTATTGTACTAGACTCTACCAAACAGCATGATCACGCTATTCGTACTGTACTCGGTACCAGACCTACTGTTCGGTACTGGACAGGACGGTACAGTGTACAGTAAGGGAAGTGTTGATCCTCCTCTCGATGACACATTTCTCGATTGCGCATGCTCCATGGCATCCAATAAAACTTCTGGCTGTCATCATCTCCAGCCATCTCCAACCCGTTCAGAGTCAATCCACTTTCAAGCCAACTGGTGTACCCTACAGTATACTGCTGTGGACTGTTTACAGCGCATCATTTTGGATAATTTTATTTTCCAAGCTAATAGTTTTTTTCCGCTACGTATGAGAAAAGATGTCGAAGGAAGACGAAATCGTGGTAGAATTAAGAAAAATCATTTTTAAAGCTCGCCAAAATGTTGAAATGGAAGAAATAATGCAGCCATGGCTACAAACATTGAAAAACCGTAGTCACCCGGCAGATATTTGCACGGCCATTGCTGATAGTCTTTACGATTTGGTATGCATAAGACGTTGATTATCACCAGTACCCTAAAAATACAAACTCCTTCCTTAACGCAATTTTTGTACATAGCGACTGTTACATCTTTTAGTGATGTAGTTGCTGTCAATGGAGTTCAGTTGCAAAGCCATGATGATAGCAATCATTATTTTATAGGGCGTTAGTACTGAAGCCGATGTGATACCGTCCGTTAAAGTGGCCGTCAAGATTCATAACAGCGAAATTCTGAAAGACGCTTTCGCTTTGGCTCTACTAAATAGGTTCTACTATTGCTTGCAACATGAATATACTAGCGCTAACTTTCATCTAATTCATTTCCTTACTTGCTCTACTTTGAACATACTCCGTTATAGTCTCTGCATGTCAATACATGTTCAACTTTAACATCAATATAAAATACATAACCATACGTAGAGTCAATAGTAGGAAGTAGTTTGCGTAGACGTGGAGAATAATACGGTAAACACACTGTAGACGGCTCTGCTTTACCGCAAGTCTTGCCACACTCTACTTGTAAACTCATGTTGTATCACCAAAGAATTCTACAAATGACATACACCCCTCCTACAGTTCAACTTGATGCTAAAATATGCCAAAGTGCTGTATCAGTCAACGACTAAACCAATTCCTATAGTAACACAACTTGCTTGGCTACAATTGATGTTTATATACTACTGTAACATTTTGTAAAGGTGCAAGACGGACTATGTTAATAGAAACAAGCTAATCGAAGAAGATCAATGGATGCAGCTAAATATCAACCTTTGGTTTATTTGCAACATGTACCAAAACTGTAAAAATCTGGTAGGAAATCAATTGGTTGTGTAACCAAAACAACCTGCTAATAGCTAAATTAAATAATACTATTTGCTTCATTTCTAGCAAACCGGCAAAACTATGTCGGTATTGTATGTGGCCATTGTCGATTACCTGATAAATATCATGGAGAATTTGCAAAAGCTGGATACTGTTAGAGATGTATTATTGGTTAGTATTGGAATGAAATGTACAACAAGATCCAATTAGTATCAATTTTAAAATTTCCTTTATCGCCGTGACGAACAAATATTTAGTTTGCCTTGCCAGCCCTAAAGGAAGATGAGAAAGCGTCCAAACGTACCCCAGGTTTAACCGACGTTTTTAATATGGCAAGAGAACTTCTGAAAGATTCATCTATAGCAGAGTAATAGCCGTCGTATTCATTTCAATTTTCAGTATTTAGTTAAAAAACAAAATCTTACCATGTTACTTATTTGGCAATAGTGACGTTAAAGCCATCTTGACGGACATAGCGGAGATGAACAACAATGCGGAGTCCGACGCAAATGACACCAATCCACAAAATGTAAGAAAACTACCCTCAACCGATATTTAAATACTATTTGCTTTCATGTTCCAACAACTTTACTACATAGTTTGAACCTGATGTATCATCTTTTAGCATGATAGCAAAGATCAGGAAACTGCGTCGTTATACGAGTATTTGCATTATTCTTTGGATGAATTGAGTGCCTTCCCGGGCGATGTAGCTACGGTGACAGAATCAATTATTGCAGAGTTAAAACCTTGGTCGGAAGATGAAAATGTTATATCTGAAACTGCCTCATTAATTTTTAACAAAGTAAGCAATTCGCCTTTCTACTCTATACGAGCTAAAGATTGTAGATGCTGCGATACAATACGAGTATAGCTACGCTCATTTCCGAAATAACACTGTTTATCGTTTTCATAGGCAGTAGCCGATAGTAATTTCCGCTATACGGCTGCTCTGTTATGTAAAAGTATTCACGAATCATCGGTATTTAAGGACGATAAATTTAGATACCATTTGCTAAAGGAGTAAGTAAAATTTTTCCAATCGTTAGCGTGAAGCCTTTTAAGACGAAAATGTATCTACTGTATTGCGTAGATGCCAAAAACTATTCCAAAGCAAGGAGAAATTCGAGAAACAAGTAATGTTTGGAGGAGCGCTTTTTACAGCTGAAATTTACTTAAATTTTAAATCTGTAAGTTAACTACATATTATCAAATCCTGTAGCTTGTTACTCATTCAATGTGTAAATACCGATATCGTACCTTTTGGGGGATATATTTCACTAATAGGGTAACAAGCCTCTTTTAAATCTACATGATGCACTGCTTTCTTACATGGAAGTACTATTGTTAAATACAGACAAAGATTATGTGAAGTGTATTACGTCTTTGTTAAAGGTAAGTATTTTTGATCTATTTTTAACGGACTGTAAATCGCTAAAAAAAGTTGCTTGATTCAGTTGGTAGGTAGCAGTATGGATCAATTTGAAAAGGAAGAAGGAAAAGATTTAAGTTTAAATAAAATTTTTGAACGTCTCCAGGAGATTGCTGAAAACACGAGGTACACTGATTATACGCTAGTAGCAATACAGTGCAATGATATTGACAAAAATGCTATTATTATTGAACTAGCGCTCAAAGTATCAAAGATATAATCTCAAATGTAGTTAAAATACGAGCATCGAATTGGGGGTTGGCGCCTAAACCGACATTAAATCCCAATGCCGCAGTCTTCCGTCCAACTGATAAAAAGTCAGATAATAATTCTGCTAGTTCTAATGAAACTGGAAAAAAATTCAATCCCAATGCTACAGAATTCTATCCGTCATACAAGACCAACCCTAAAGATAGCACTGAACAGGAACAACCTGTGAGAGATCTAGGTAACATCGTAGTATATGATTCAATACAAAAATAGGCTATACATATTTTACAATTCATTTATACATGCTATATCCTCGAATTCCTATACAGAAACTTGGAATGAGTACGTTGGCGATGATGACGATTTCAATGCTGAACAGTAAGTTATACACGCTAGTACAGAAACAACCAATTTTTAGAGCATAAGAAAAAATGTTATTCCTTCTTAGAATACACGAACAAGAAAATGTGTTTCAGTACTTCGAGGAAGAGATGATTGATGACGATATGGAACAAGAATATGAAAAGTTTCTAGCGAATGAATATTAAACTTTTAAAACATTCTGTAGAGATTGGATTGCATAAGTGAAGATTTATTGTTTGTTTGTTTGTTTGTTATATGATGCTAATACGGATGCTAGTTACGGTGGAAAGATATCAAAGTTAATAACTTTACCTTCATTTTGAAGGATATGCGACAATGCTGTATTTACATTAAATTATCATCTAGATTATCTATAATACACACAATGTTAATTATTATAACTTATTCGAGTGACCGATAACATTTCTTTCAGTTAGATGTTTGTAATATATGTAAACAGCTCTAAATAATTACGACTATTATTATGTATCCAGTTCCTCCTAAAAACAATAAATCGATGATTAACTTATAGTAAAAACCCTTTACCTAGCATAAATTTATAAGATTGCAACGCATGCCATATGCAAGATATCTAAAATTACCTTATAATCGCGAGGAATGAAAAAAATAGAAACTGGAATGTCATCGCTGCTACTATATTCTTGAAAGCTGACTTTGGCAGTAATAGTCGGTAGTATAGATAGTTCTACACATAACCGTAATTCGAATTATCACAATTAGTACTTTATTATACCATATACGACGCAATTTAAGGTACGTCTTACAACTTATTAATTTAATAGTACTGTACAGTCAGACCAAATTTGATAAATTGATTCACCTAATTTAACTGGAAAACCAGGAGGTAATTTCATTTGAATAAATTCTTTTAATTTCGTAAATTGCTTCATAGGTGACAAAATTGTTAAAATATCTACCAATCTGAAAATATCATATAGATAAAAATTGAATAAAAGTCAATCTAAACTAGTAGCAACATGCAAAACTTACACATTTACATCCAGTGGAAATTCCTGACTCTATAAATTTTTAAATGAAACACATACAAATACACTCATATTAAGAAATGCAGCAAATAAATTAGTATATCCTAATTGAACCTACCATAGCAACTTGTGGTTTGAAAGCTTTTCTCGTTTCCTTTACATCTACTAATCTAGCCAGTTGTGGCATACTTCAAAAACCAAATAAACGTACTTTAGATAACTGACCTGAAATACGTTAACTTGAGTATCATAAAAATTCGAATTTCTTACTCTCTACTTTCTAAGTACTCCTGCCAGGTCATCTTACATTTAGCCGGTGGCTCCAGGGACATACGATGCTTATGAGAAATTAAAGTTGAAACACATGAAATTCAATCCGTTAAGAAGTATAATGTAACTTTCGCAAGTAATTAGTTTGCCGTACTTCGGGTTTAAGATAATCCTCATCAAACATTTTAGAATCCCCTTTTGAAATCTTTTTCATCAACTCCTTTAAGGTTTTTATAAATACCAGATTAAATCCACAAGAATGAAATTATGTAAATGCAATAGACGCATTCTGACCTTATTTTTTTTTTTATCTTCTTCAGACAGATGTTCTCTCCTACAATACACAGTAAATGAGATTGACATGGAATTTTTAAAAGGCTGAAACAGCACTACATAGTAAATAAATGTAATTTTATGCTGATATCTACCTTTTCCTTTGGATCAATTGCAATCCGTTAACACTAAAAACGTCAGCCTTAAAGTTTCCTATGGTTTCCTGGATAAAATTTGTAAGGCTTTTTTTAAATGAATGTAATTAAGAAGATTTAAGCCAAATAAATCATACAATTTTATTTTCTCGAAAGATCCAGCCACTTTGTACTTTCGTAAATGTAACTTGCTCAGATGTTGTTTGACCAGATACTATATTACTTAATAATTGTCAATATTGCAATTCGATGTTAAAAACGCCGCACAAAAATACAACTTGGAAAGCAAACTGTGTTTTATTGTACAGAATAGTAATAATATTTACTTGCTCATAAGTAAATCTACTTCTTCATCTACTTCAGCGTCATCATCCTTGAAATTTGATCAGCAAACTTAATTAAGAATAATATCTAGAAATCTATTTATCACAGCTAATGTACAACTATACGCGTATATACAACATACTGATATACGAACTCTGCTAACCTTGAATCGCATTTTTTGAAAGGTTTTCTTATCATTATCTAAGACTATCGGTAATGGGTGAGCTGCCGAAAAAAATCAGATATACCCATAAATCATAATCTTTAATGGTAAATTACTAGCTTTTATCGCTCCTATCGATTAAAGTGCAAGCTTATCTATTTATTAGCTATATGACATCGTGCATATTTAGAATTAGTACCGTCATTATTTCCATTAAATATCAGACTGACATCTCCTCTTTGCCATTTCATTTCAGAAAAATCAGCCAAAGTCGAATCAACTCTGTCGAGGATAAAAATTAATTTACAGCTTAGCATTTCGTAAGATATATAATTAATCAATTGAAATATATAAATACTCGCAGGAACATCGAATGTTTTATCGTACAAATCTACCTTATACACGCGTCTCGTTTTCTAATTTTACATATATCAGAAGGCAGCAGTCTTGATAAAAAAGGAACTTTACCAATGAAACCATAAAAGCGAATTTAATTAATAATTGATTCATGAGTGCACAAGTTGAAGATTATTTAAAACATTTATCGCAAATTTATTACTCACTCCAAGATGTAAACTCCCATTTTAATTCCATGTAAAAATCTCCCAACTATAGATCGAAATTAGAGATTAAAGTGTTATTAACAAGATAGAGTACATTGGCTGTCCATATATGTATCAAAGTAATAATTGTAATCTTAGTATTTACACTTTTTAAAGCAGCGATAACTCGTGGACGTTTAGCCTTTAGATCTTGCTTTGATATTGTCTTCATGGTTAGGAGTAATTGAGTAACTGTCAATGAATTATAATTATATGTACTATAAAATTAATACATTGCTCAGAAAATTTGCTTATTGTATACATATTCCACCATATGAAATGTATGTTACCTGTTAGGCGATCACCATAGCTAATCGCCTCGTCTAAGGGCGTCCAACCGTAATTATTCTTGGCTTTTAGAGAGGGTTTACGTTGCAAAAGTAATTTTATGCAATCTAACAGTGTAAATGGACCAGTACGATGATCAGATTATCCATTAGCAAAATTATGCTAGCTACGATTACCGTACTATGCATCCATTAATTAATTAATAGTCAAAAAATAGAGAAAAATACGGATCCAGCTCTATAAACTATTTATCCAAAGCATATCAAGATTGTAATACAATACATAAATTGTAACTATTTTATTATTTTAAATTACTGTTTTAGCCTTTCTACGAGACAGGCGATATTTACCTTTATGGCCAAGCATGACAGCCAGATGTAATGGAGTATTACCTACGTCACAAGAATTAAATGTAACAATAATTAGAAGCAATGACTATTGTTTTCCATTAACAAGTAATCGACTACGTATACCTTAGAAAGCAATAGTATGTTACATTTGACGTACAATGTAAAAAGCACAATAACCGAAAAGTCGTAGACAAGTAATATTAACTGACTCCGGGTTATTCTGTCTAAACGACGACATTAAAATCAACATACAAATAATGCAATAGAAGCGTTGCATCGTCTCAAAATATTGTTGCTGAGTGCAATTGCAAAAATTTTATTGCTACCTCAGTTAGTTCAGTTCAGTTCAGTGTTTGATAAGTCGTCACTGGAGAGGGCTACCGTACCTTCAGACTGAAGGCTTCAAGACATACTAATTTATATAAAATGATGAAAAATTGGCAATAATGCAGTATCGCTACGAGTTATAGTAGAAGCTACGTACAGTACAGTATTATAGTGTACGAGTATCATGGATACTTTAGCCCTTCGGTAATAGAATACGTATAATTAATTAATCAACGGTGAGATAGAGGGAGAATCTGAAACCTATGCTACTAGGGTGCGCGTATTATTTTTCATTTTCTAACCACTATTTAGTATGACATTCAACTGATAAGATAAAAAATAGACATCATTCTTATTTTCATCGCTTTTAGTTTGATAAAATCAGCAAACATACTATAATGGATACTGTAGCCATTAGGAATAGAATACGTAGTGTAATTAATCAACAGTGAGATAGAGGGAGAATCTGAAATCTATGCTACTAGGGTGCGCGTATTATTTTTCATTTTCCAACCACTATTTAGTATGACATTCAACTGATAAGATAAAAAATAGACATCATTCTGATTTTCATCGCTTTTAGTTTGATAAAATCAGTAAACATACTATAATGGATACTTTAGCCATAAGGTAATAGAATACGTATACTGTAATTAATCAACAGTGAGATAGAGGGAGAATCTGAAACCTATGCTGCTAGGGTACGCGTATTTTTTATTTTCTAACCACTCTTTAGTATGACATTCAACAGATAAGATCAAAAATGGACATCATCCTTATTTTCATCGCTTTTAGTTTGATAAAATCAGTAAACATACGTACGCTCGTATGTTCCTGTTCGTTCTCAATGAATGACCAGAATGATCAGTGTTTTATTAATTATCAGCGTAAACATATTGATACAACTAAATCGCCACAATGCGAAACTAGATGCTACGGGTTGTACAGTATAAATGGAATTTCTTCGATTATTTCGAATAGGAGTATGAAATAAAGGTTCATCCCTATCGACTGAGCAGCATTGAACTCTTGGCCGATCAATCAATATCAGGATGAAGATTAAGGCCATACGTTCATTAATGTTTACAATACGATATCGCATTTCTAAAGTCAAGCTGTCTCTATAAAGGCAAAATCAATCATGAATCTTCTAAAAGAAATTGTAATATTATTATAGTTAAAAATAATTTATCTATTTCACAAATCAATGGAAGATTTACTGTATCATTTCAATTTGTTCTATATTAAATGCGTATGAATACTTTTACATGGTCTTGATTCCGGCTTGTATTTTATATTTTACAATCAGTAATCGGATTAAAAATGAATGGGAAAACATGTTTAATGAACAGTTATGGACTACCTAAAAGAGTTGGAGGACTGTCTATAGAAATGAATTCAATCATCATTATCGTTGCTAGATGAAGTGGGGCACAGGATTGACCCACCTGTATCTTCCAGTAATTAATAATTTACATGTCATGTTGATTATAGTAAAGACTGAGTTGCTGTAAAATAATAACATGAAAATAAATGTACTGTATATTGGTATCGTATTCGTGTACATTCCATTTTTGGCAGACTACGTGTCATCATTCGTATGACATAACATGGAAATGGAGTATTTGCCGATGGGGAAAATGGCGTGTATCCACAATAAACTACTTCAAGAGTAATTGAATCCAGCTGTTATGATATTATTGAGTAAAAGGAATGACTATTCAAAGAATTCAAGCCGTTGATGATCATTACTTTGTAAGTTGGTTGAAAAATTGTCGCGTACGACTATCCATGGATCCGACGGCAACTGTAGACCGAAACATCATTGAATCAATGAGAATACAAGGATCAAAATGATCGACTATGAAAAGGTATCCCATGAATCTATCCTTCCATAAGGAGGATACAAATAAAAAAATTGGATTTGCAATCTATTCTGCTTTATTTAGGCCATTGCAATGATTCTTTTGCTTTCAAAGTGAGTCTGTACGTCGTTTATTGCTGTAGCAAAGCAAGCTAGTAGCGAAGTTTATTCGTCCGACAGTGAGATTTGGATTTTCAATCAGTCAAGCTTTCATTTTGGCCCAATCTACTGATACAATACTATAGTAGATTGAGCAAAGTAATGTACAGTTTGCTGCTGGATGCCATGACTCCACCAGCGGGTCTACTGTACTGTACTAAACGATTGCTGTGGCGTCTATTGACATATTAAGACTACTGTGGACGTTGACAACGATCAGCTTCTATTTACTCTATACTGTCCATACATCCAGTACATCACAAACTTACCATGTTTATCCTTTCTATTGATGTCGTGGCCTTTCTGTAACGATTTTACCATTTCATTAGCATTGCCATTGAAGACATGGTAATGCACTGGATAGTCCAATGTCGTATTTTGAGCCATTTTAAAGTTGATACAAGGAGAAAAATCAGTAATAGAAAGCTGCTAAGGAATTGTCACGCAAGAATCCTTGAGAATATTGACTTGGAGCGGACACTGCGAACAGCAGTAGCTTGCTGTACCGTACGCACTGTAAGCACTGTACTGTACACTGTAGTGCGCCGTACTGGTTGTTGTACAGTACAGTACTGTACAATGTACACTGTACAGTATAGTACAGTACACTACGCATGTTCAATGTTCATTGTTCAAGTACAGTATAGTACAGTATAACATTCTACAGTAGTGAAACCGACTCCCTCTGCTTGTGGTCAATAGTGTACAGTGTACAGTGTACGGTACGTGACGCAACTGAGAGTACAGTACTGTACTGTAGAAAGAGAGAGAGAGACGACTGGACTAGCTGTCCTTCAGTGCAAAATAATCAACAATACAGTAGGATTGTATGCAGCACTACAGTGTACAGTGTACAGTACGCTACCAACGAAAGAGTACAGTACTGTACAGTACAGTACAATATGCAGAACCAACCAAGCGGCTAATTTGCATGATAATCGTAGACAGTACAGTATAGTGTATCGTTTCAGACATACGGCTCACCGGAGATGACCAGCAAAAGAAGTTAGCTCCCTTCTTTTTACCATGGTGAACCACTCTTCTCTGCCCTTCTCTTTCTTTCCTTCACTAGTCCCTACTCCCTAGCCATAGCCTCTATCGCTGAAGCACAACCATGGCAGATACCAAGACCATGGTAGTGCCTAGGAACTACGAATGATCTTACCGTACTGTATTACTCCCAGTGAAGTTAAGTTGACTAGTCGTGCCGTCGTGGCCTACTGTATCAATTAGTCTTTTAATGAAGTGAATAAGAAAAAAAAAAGCAACTGTACTGTACTACTAGACGGCTGATGGTACTGGCCAACAAAGGGTAGAATTATTAGCCTTACTGTCTACATAGACACCATTTTAGGATCAAGGTGATCCATTCATTTCTAGTTAATACGGGTAATTATTATACTACATCACTACGTAGAAGGCAATATCCTGGAGTAAAGTAGAAAAGACTAAAATTCATTTAGAAATCATCCAAGATGATGTAATTGTTGATCGCCGAATAAATAGCTGCATCATGCCGCAAAGAGCATTTCGATTCATTCGTATATTTTCTTTTCTTTTCTAGCCGATTTTAGTCAAGTTAATATTGGAGTCTCAGTCACAGTCAACGTGGCATCACTACGCAAGACTGTACAGTACAGTACAGTACTGTACTGTATCGTGCAGTCTTACAGTACATACTATTCTAGAAACTGAATGAATTTAATAGAGCGGGTGACGTAACGCTACACTGACGCTATGGCCTGACCATACTGTACCAGGGGCATGATTGTGTTAAACAATTACACTGCAGGAAAACTTTTTGGAACTTATTTTGTAGTACTGTAGTGTACAGTACTGTACAGTACAGTACAATGAACCGTGTGTTTAAAATCTCTTGTATCTCACAAAAAAGTCAGTGACAAATAACTGCCGACTAATCAGTAATCAGGCTTTTGGTCTTTCGGAAAGTGCATATCATTGTGCAAAGGTTAAAAGCAGCAGTAAATCTACAAATAGACAGCATACGACGTGTACGACATGGCCGCCGATATTAAGCAACCCGATAAGTAAGTCAATGAGTAGCAAGTTCTATTTTGCTAAAAAGTATCCAAGAGTAGAATGAATTCTAATCATAGGCGATGGAATGTCATTGAGCTCAGATATTGCTTTGTGATCTTCAACTTGTTAGAAACGATGAATTAGCAACAGCAATTTTACGCACTAAGGACAAGCCAAACCGGCTAATTGTTGAAGATGCGGTTAATGACGATAATTCTGTTGTTTCCTTAACACAAGTAAGTATCAGTTGAGATTCAAGTTGGACACCCAACGAGTACACAATTTAATCGTTGATAACATTTCACAGGCAAAGATGGATGAATTGCAACTCTTTCGTGGTGATACAGTCTTATTAAAGGGTAAAAAACGCCGTGAAACGGTAAGTAATAGAATTGATATTAGTATGATAACCTTGATGATACACTTTTAATGTACGGTACAGTAATTCCAAATTTATAGTCAATGAGTAACGTACTATACACCGCTTCAGCTTTACCATTTATGGTATCGCTTTATGAAGAAGTCAGCCATTACAGTAGCGCTCTTCATTCACTATTGGTTACTACCAATCAACAAGAACTATAACTGTTACTAAACTATGCAAAACTTGGATCATTATCGTAGTCCTTAACTATGACCATGATCGATAGGATAGTAAGAAAAGGTCCAAAAATTGGCACCATACTATACTATACTATAGTATACTGCTAGAAAATGGAAATAAAATACAAGAGAAATTCTTAAAGTGTTCCCATTGCAGTAGTTCATCTTGCCGATTGCATAGCTTTGAAGACTACAGTAATGTACTGTACATTGTGAGTGCTACTGTTGCAGTCAAATTGTGCTGACTGAAGCAGAATTACATGCGCACATGGGTGAGTCTACATCAGTACAGTGCCTATGTACGTTCAATACGAGGTTCAGGTGCAAGACCGTAAAACTATACAATATTATAGTTTCTGTACCGTCGACTGCTACAGTGCTTTCTTTGAAAGAGATTTGACTGATACAGTACTACTGTACGGTACAGTATTTGGTAGTACAGCACTGTACTTCAATTGTGGGGGACTCTTGCTCTTTCTACCAAAAGCGGTAGAAAAATTGACCTTTCAAGCAATGGTGATCTATCGTAGCAATGAAATTATCGATGGATCGTAGCTATTGGATAAGTTTAGTTATCTTATAAAATACGTCAAGAGATATTAGTGCACTTTACAGTACTGTAGCTACAAGTTCGATGATTATCTCTTTGTTCTTCTATGAATTTTCTCTATTGTACCCAGTACAAAGTCTCACTTGCACACCATTCTTCCTACTTTACACTCGCATAAATGTCCAGTCTTGATCGGGTTATATTTCGTACTGTCTCAATTTCATGTTTGTCATGATATATAATAATGTTCAGTGAAGCCAATTGATGACTTGCAACTAAACCAAGGCTGATACTGAGACTACTGTATTACAGTCTATAATTAATTGTTAACGTTTCCTCATATCACACTCCAACAGGTCTGTATTGTATTGTCGGATGATTCAATCCCAAATTCAAAGATTAGACTTAATCGTGTCGTGCGACAAAATCTTCGAATCCGTATTGGAGATATAATTAGGTAAGAATGTTTCGGTATACGCCGTTATACTTGCCATTAGAGTCACTAGAATCTCTGATATATCGATCGTATGAGTCAACCGAATTTTCAAGCGCAAATCTTCGATATAATAAGACAACTTTCTGCTTGCATGTGCCTAGTATTCATCCATGCCCTGAGGTCAGATATGGCAAAAGAATCCATGTACTTCCCATCGACGATACCGTTGTTGGAATAACTGGGTAAGAAATTATACCTCTTTGTAATTATATGACTAAAATCTTGACTAATTTCGTTATAATTGTTTCAATTTTATAGGAATTTATTCGATGTCTTCCTAAAACCCTATTTCTTGGAAGCATATAGACCCGTCAGAAGAGGTACTTCAAAATCTTGACCAGAGACTTGCTCGATTTTAAAAAATTATTCTTAGCCATAACTGGATATTACTTGACCATACATTCGATCTAATCAACAAAAAAGTACTTGAATTGCAGTAAATAATGATGGCTTATATTAACTATATTCATCTATAGGTGATATTTTCTTGGTTCGTGGCAGTATGAAATCTGTTGAATTTAAGGTTATCGAAACCGATCCATCACCTTATTGTATCGTAGCACCTGATACTGTGATTCATTGTGAGGGTGAACCCATTAAGCGAGAGGTATTTTGCTGTTTCCTATCAGTTCTTGTTTGTATCGGCGATAACAGCAGTTACTGCCAATATCTTAGGACGAAGAAGAATCATTAAACGAGATAGGATATGACGATATTGGTGGCTGTAGAAAGCAATTAGCACAGATCAAAGAGGTATAGACGTAATGGGATGATAACCGCGAGATACGAAAATCATATTGCCCATAATTTACCAGTGAAAGCAATACTCTAATTTTTATATTCGAATCTGTTTATTTGTATCAATAATAGATGGTGGAATTACCACTACGCCATCCACAGCTATTCAAAACTATCGGCGTTAAGGTAAATTATATCTATGATTTTTATAGGAAATACAGTAATTTAGAGAGTACTTTTAACAGATTTGTACCTTAATTTATTATCAATGAGATAGCGATCCAGTCTTATAATAACTATTACACTATTAAAAACAGTGCAATAAAAGTAGTTCTATTTCATAGTGATCATCCTAGTGAGCTAAAGCTCTTGAATTATTGTCTTTTATAAGTAAAACATGAATAATTTATTGCGACAGCCATGAATAATAATAGTTTTTGTCTAAAATATGAACCAATTTATAGCCTCCACGAGGAATTTTATTGTATGGCCCTCCTGGAACTGGAAAAACCCTTATAGCTAGGGCGGTAGCTAATGAAACTGGTGCATTTTTCTTCCTAATAAATGGTATGGGTATAATTTCTTTGCATATAGATGTACGTCAATGAATATATTAAATTACTCCTGCTTATACATGCAGGCCCCGAAATTATGAGTAAACTTGCTGGTGAATCGGAAAGTAATTTACGGAAAGGTGAGTTCTAGCAGTTTGTGATAGCACACTCAGTTGTCGATAAGCCAACAATTTTGAATCCTTTAAATTAAATTTATTACATCTCAGCTTTCGAAGAAGCCGAAAAAAATGCTCCAGCTATAATATTCATTGACGAACTAGATGCTATTGCTCCTAAGAGAGAAAAGGTATTATTCTATTGCTACAATGGCAAACTGATATTAATTCTTCATACACGCTCCTACTCCCACTCGTTTATAACATCTCCTGAATGATCTCATGTAATTAATTATAGACGCATGGTGAAGTAGAAAGGAGAATCGTGTCACAACTTCTTACGTTAATGGACGGTCTTAAGCAACGTTCTCATGTCGTTGTCATGGCTGCTACTAATCGCCCAAATAGCATTGATGGGGCTCTTAGAAGATTTGGTATGGTTTTTCGATAGAAATTGAATAGCATAGTACTAGTATTGCTTATCATTTCTATATTTGTAAAGGGCGCTTCGATCGAGAAGTTGACATCGGTATACCCGATGCAACTGGTAGATTAGAGATATTACGCATCCACACGAAAAATATGAAACTCGCAGATGATGTGGACTTAGAACAGGTAAAAAGTAGCTTGAATTTTTTATTATACAATTTCTTTATTATCAGTATATTGTAGTACTTAGATCTTGAAATACTGCAGGTAATACACTTATATTCTAATATCTTCGTGTACTGGTATATCACAGATCGGAAACGAAACGCATGGTCATGTTGGTGCTGATTTAGCTTCTTTATGTGCTGAGGCTGCTTTACAACAGGTAAAATAAAAATAAGTTCAAATTCAATGTTGTATACTTTATCTCACTTGGTTGGATGTAATCGTAAAAGATAAGAGAAAAAATGGATCTGATCGATCTTGAAGACGAAACCATCGACGCAGAAGTAATGGATTCTCTTGCCGTAACGATGGAAAATTTTAGGGTTCGATATACACGTCAATTATTTTGTACAATTCTGCTTGTAGTTCTTCCATCTTATTCATATTTTCTATAGTTTGCTTTAGGTAATTCCAACCCATCTGCTCTTCGAGAAACAGTAGTTGAGGTACCTAATGTTAGCTGGGATGATATTGGTGGATTAGAGAAAGTAAAAAGAGATTTGCAAGAAATGATTCAGGTATTCATTGCAGTAATAATAAAAGTTGATTTAAAGCTTTGAATACTAATAACTTTAATTATCCGAAAATATCTAGTACCCAGTTGAATACCCTGACAAATATCTAAAATTTGGAATGACTCCATCAAAAGGTATATTAAAAATTCGATTGCACTTCGGAAATATAGAATGCCTTACTATATTTGCGTTCTCCAATTGTTGGAAAACTCTAGGTGTTTTGTTTTATGGTCCACCTGGCTGTGGTAAGACACTTCTTGCTAAAGCAATTGCAAACGAATGTCAAGCTAATTTCATTTCCATTAAGGTTTGAAATTTTGTTACTCGTATCTTATTTATATAGTTTATAGAATTTTAGGCTTACATAAATTATAATATAAAATTTATTAGGGTCCAGAGCTGTTGACAATGTGGTTCGGTGAATCCGAAGCAAACGTTCGTGATGTTTTTGACAAGGTAATACAGTACTACGCATTCGGTAACATGGTATTAAACACGGTGATATGCTGTACCCATTGCTGAACAACATTCCGTATTTATACAAATGAAGGCCAGAGCTGCTGCTCCTTGTGTCTTGTTCTTTGATGAACTTGATTCAATTGCCAAATCTCGCGGTGGAAGTGCCGGCGATGGAGGTATACATAATACTTATATGATGACTTATTTATATACTAGTACATGTGTATAGGTTTATTCACAAGTTGATTCATTTATAGGCGGTGCAGCTGATCGTGTCATTAATCAAGTTTTGACTGAGATGGACGGCATGAGTACGAAGAAAAATGTCTTTATCATTGGCGCTACCAATAGGTGACTATGTTCTTGTGGATTTCGTATATTGAGCGCATGAACTTATTTAGAAATCTTCGTTTAGACCCGATATCATAGATGCTGCAATATTACGACCTGGTAGACTCGATCAGTTAATCTATATTCCCCTACCTGATGCCGAAGTAAGCTAAGCCCTTTATTGACTGATTGATTATAATTATGTCGTTGTAACTGTATCAAATCATTCAAATGTTAACTCAAACATTTAAATTCTTTAGTCGCGTATATCTATCCTCAAAGCGAACCTTCGCAAGTCTCCTGTTGCTACGGTAAGTCAGAATCATTGAAGATACTTTGTGCTTTCTGACAATTACACTCAATTATATAAAATATGCGGATATGATTCTAAAATTGTCCTTATCTCTCTCTCTCTTATAGGATGTAGATTTGAGCTACATTGCCAAAGTTACGAATGGCTTTAGTGGTGCAGATTTGACCGAAATTTGCCAAAGAGTAAGTTCTTTATCTCTTTTGATTGATTAATTGAAATAAGCTGAAGGTTCACTATTTTAATTTTTAAAGGCTTGCAAATTTGCAATTCGTGAATCAATTGAGAAAGAAATTCAAAAAGAAAAACTTAGAAAAGAAAATCCAGATATTGGAATGGTATCTAAGCTTATCAGATAACCCAGTGTAGTATTACTGCACTGACGAACAACCACAGTAATATTGATTATGTGTCTTTAGGACGTAGATGACGAAGACCCTGTTCCTGAAATTCGTCGTGATCACTTCGAGGAGTCAATGCGATATGCTCGTCGATCTGTTACAGATGCCGATATAAGAAAGTATGAAATGTTCTCACAGACATTGCAGCAGAGTCGTGGATTTGGAACATCATTCAGGTTATAATGCTAGAGATACGAGAACAGTATATAGGTAGTCTATAGCGAGCTAGTATGATGCTGACTATTTCCTTCTGATTTGGTAGACTTCCTACTGCAGCTCCGGATGCCGCAGGTGGTGATAGCACTAACCAGGGCCAGCCTCAAGGTGGCGCTGATGATAGAAATCTTTACGACGAAGGTGACGACGATTTGTACAGTTAGAGATTTCTGTTGTTCGTGTATCTTTGATTATGAGTTAATTGGTAGCATCGGATAAATTACTGAAGTTCTGCAATTAAGATAGCTAACGTAATTAGGAGATTATCCATGCTTCTTGATCTTGTAACTGCATAATTGATGAAGCTTGCCTATCTTGCTGTCTTTAGACTGCTTCTTAAAGGTTTAAATACTTTGCTAGTTAAATTAATGTATGCTACATAATAACTAAAAGGAGGCTCTACTCGCTTATGAATATAACCGAACGTGTGATAGCGCGCTCCTGGTGCAATGATTATTAAATGTTAGATGCTATTACCAATGTAACACTTCTTTTATCTTTTTCGCTGACATGACGAATTAGATGAGCAGTGTTCAGCAATCGATTTAACTCGTTATTTGCAATTTCATTACCTAATGTTATTAGTATCTTACTACTTTCTAACAAAACCGTGGTACGTTTGTACTATTTTTGACAGTCTCGTTGTTTTGACATAGGTTTTACAATAATAAATAATAAACACAGTCATTATCAATCTCTTGGACTGTTCTGTGTTTTGATTAATCAATTTAATGTTCAATGACTAATGTACAGTAGAAAGGTGGCTAAAATAACGTGGAGATAGGTTCAATAGAACTTACGTAACTTCATGCCAATTGACCAAATGATTAATTGATACAGTGTAATATAGTTGGCAGTAATATGTGGCTTCGCTTTAGTATGGACTTCTAGAAACTAGTCTATTTCTAGAAGTCCATACCTTTGGGGTCCTCCACTGGCATGGGGTAGTAGATGATAAAGCTACTGTACATCAATATGGGCATATTACACTTTCTTATCAACTACAGTTGGTTGCTAACAATGTTGTAAACTGGAATGTCGATAACGTTGAAGTTTTAGCTAGAAATATAAATACTGAAGGATATCAGGGAAAGTAATATAGACTTTCTCTATCAATTTTCCCTACTTGGGTGAGTGTATCGTCAATTATATAATGTCAAGATACCAGGGTCAATCAATTTTCAGACTTTAATGGGGGGGGGGGGTGCAAAAAGTTGGAACGTTGAAACTCTTTTAAAGCGTATTCATGGTCGTACCATAGCATAGCAACTGTACTATACTGCATATCGTCATATCAAGGCGGCAAATAAGACGGAATTTACCGGTTGGATCGATTTCAGCTCGGTACATTTTACAGTAATGTACCACCGTACGCTGTTTCATGGACTACTCCATGCAGTACAGTACAGTGCTATGGTACGCATACCATTGATCCTACTAACACAACTATACTGTAAAATAATAGTTGATGATTTACTTACCAAAACGTCTGTACAGACTGTCGGCTGGCTTCGTATTTCTGAATTAATCCGTGCTAGGAAAGTGCAACAGTGTATTTGTTGTTCTGAGCAGAGTAGCTGAAAAACGCAACCTTTAATTTATAGCAAACTAGGAATTGGTGTTGTAGAATATTCAAGATTGTAATCAATTTCATCATGGGATCGATGATTAGCTCACAGATGAAGGAGGTCATGGGTGAACAAATGAAGCAAAATAAAGAATCCATGAGTGAAATGCAAGATACTATGGTATGAAGCAATTATAAAAACTTATTTCACGCTTACAGTATACGCTTGTTGCCGGCTATGCTGTCTGGTAAAAGTACAATTCGGTGTAGTAATTCCCATCGGAGGCCTATATTTAGCAGGCATCACATTTGTAGAATTTCGTTCTCTCTATCACCACAGTATTCGATTGCTATCACTTGCTAGCTTGTAATAAGTGATTACATCAACTAAAGACGTATAAGAAATTTAATGCGTTACGCTACCTTATTACTATCATTTGTTCGATTGAATTACAGTAATAATTTACATACATCAAACGCTATATGGATGCAAAAATGCCTCATTTGTCTACTATAATAGAGTAAAATCTGATTTGATTTAATAATAACGGTAATTGTAATCATTATTGCGAACATTGGCTATCTTAACATCCAGCAAATATTTATTATTCACAGTAAAACCACAAAGGTACAAGGCGGAATATTAACGCTTTAATCCTGATTTTATCGCTCTTGACAGTAAATAATTTCACATAGTACCTGATTTACCGGTAAATTAATTGTTGGCGGTGAAGAAAATAATTACTCCGTACTAGTTAGTAACTGTTATACAATATTTACTCGTACGTTGGGTACGAATGTCATAGGGACGTTTCTTTCCCCTATTTTATCACGCTATTAGTTATCACTGGATACTGGTAGTTATCGCTAACTTCGTAGTTGTACAGCAGCACTGTTCTACGTATTATCTCGGAGTTACGAGGGCTTTACTTGCTCAATTCTAGACTCACTATATCGTATACATATAGTATTAAATAAATAATATTTACGTTGCTCCCACCAACGTGATTTGTGCTATGTCGTATAGATGGAACGACAAATTGTGCTACAAGATCAAATCCGTCGGCGTCAAATGGCATCACAAATCGCTAGAGCTAGAGATTTCGTTGCTTGGTATGGTTCGTTCTACGCCCTAGCTGGGATTGGCCTTATAGCTGCGTAAGAGTCGCAAATTTAGATCGCGGTTATACCGTACAACACACAAGATACTATTAATTAATTAATTAATACTGATTTTACACTATATAGTAGAACTAATGGTTAACTCTGTACAGTTCATTGCTATTGATGTACTCGAATATATAACTTTAACTGTTACAGCTCTAGACGAACAAAGAACCGTGCTTATTTAGGACCATTAGTTCCACTCGGATTTATACTGGCGTATCAAGCCGATTTAGCTTATGGGAATAAAATGGATCGTATACGAGGTAATGTAGGAAGTAATCGATTAGTACAGCTGCTTATACATGCTAGCTGCAGTTTATCCTATCCTTACATAAATGTTTATGGAATGCCTGATGTTAGCTATTTCCCTCAGTAACGAATTATCAAATTCTTTATTAAAATCCCTTCTAATAAAATACAGCCGAAGCGGAGAGGATTATGTCTGATGAGACTCACTACCTTGAGTTACCATTTGGACGACCAACTCTTAAAGCCGTAGAAGAAGCAAGGAAGGCTTCCAAGAAAAGCTAATTCCGACTGAGCCTCTTTTGGAATTGTAAATTTTAGGGCAGTAGATAGACAGCGTATGCAGCCCGTTGATAATTCCCTTAGTATATCTCATACAGTTTACCTAGGATTAGACTGCTTCTATTGACCTTAGCCAATGTAGTATGCAATAATTTGTCTATCACTTTAAATATTATCGTAGTAAATTACAGTAAAGTAAATTTAATTTATTTATTATGCTGTTTTTACATAGAATTCGTTTTAGTGTTTGATAGCATACGCCTTAGTTTGTTCCACAATTGGAATATTAGAGCTGTTGTCCTTCGAGATTGGGTGTGTATTAGAACACCTTTTCGTTTCTGATGATCTTTACCTTATTATGAAGCATTTGGCTGTGACATTTGTCTATTACAACCTATAATTACTTAGCAAATTTTATATGTATGGTATGATTGCGTGAGCCAATAAACAGAGCGGCTAATACGAAGTTTAATAACAATTTCTTAAATATAATTAAATTTATCAAGTTAATACAAAAGTATCGTGAATGATATCTAGTTATATGAAAGTGACCAAAATTTTGTCAGCAGGACCAAGAAAAAAATATGATACACCATTAATAACTATATACAGCATGCTGATAACCAGATCCATAAAATATACAGCTTTACATGATACGTTTACGGTACAGTATACTAATTTCGTCATATTGCTACCTTGTAATAATTCGGGGAACCGGTAAGTAACACCAAACATCTTCGATATCTATAGAGAAGACTATCCGTATTCTAACATTCCGCCTGAGCTCCAGCTTTTGCGAGTTTGTCTGCCATTTCATTACCTACATCACCAGCATGGCTACGTATATGAGTCCATTTTACTCTTAGTTGAGAGTTTAAATGATCTAATTTGACAATATCTTCCTTATTTTTGACTTCGTCTCCGGAGCTTGTTTTCCATTCATTACGTTTCCATTTATTAATCCAATTTGTAACAACATTAATAGTGTACATGGAATCTGTTCTTATTTCGATAGTTTCTAAGTTGTGATCTGAGGCAGATTCGAGAGCTTTACAGGCTGCAACAAGTTCAGCTCGCTGGTTAGTTTGTTTACCTGATAATCTTTCACTTACACTTGAAAGATTCGGATAGCTCCAGTATATGCCAATTCCGGCTCTTGCATTTTGAAAGCCATTATTAAAACAGCAGCCATCGCAATAAACAATATTGCTAGAGCTACTACTACTGGCAACGGCAGGTCCTACTACCTCATCTGTTATTCTCTTCTTGACACCTAAATCCTGTGTCATGAAAGCCAACAAGTACAACCAGTAGTTACTTAATAGTATTACACTTTTAGAATGATATTCATTGTTACTAACGAGTTAACCGATCCTCAAAGTTAGCCTATGATATTTTCATTTCTATACGCATAAGATAAAAGGACATACCATAGCCATACGTTTTCTTTTTTCACCAACAAGGTCTGAAATCAAAGGTGAAACACGTGTCAAAGGTGAAACACGTTTCATTACTGTTGCTGTCTAATAAATAAAGAAAAAGATTAGATTGAGAATCTTTGCAGACGTCGTCATAAATATTAAAACTATCGTTGTCTGAGCGTGCATTTTTAGTCATAAACTACAGTAATAGAACTAGGGTTTTTTTTGGTTGCCATGGTTTAGAAGACTGTAGTCAGCTTTATTTTCAGTCGAATTGGGAAACTTGCTTCGAACTGAATGGATTGTATACTTTTAACCTATCATTTCATTGATACAGAACTTTCTAAATTGTGTTATTGTTTTCTGGACTGATACGCATACCTCATAAGTTAACATCTCCGTGACATGCCTATTTGTACAGTATTTGTTAGTAATAAGCCATGCGGTAAACGAAATCTTTGCCCACTGAACAGCAATTCTAGTTTGTAACAGAATTTACTAATGATGTAGTGTACATACTTAATGTATAATTTACGAAACCTAATTTGTACTCCTGAAGGTGATCCATTCGGGAAGTCTTTGAATTTTTTTATCTCAATCGTTTGCGATTTGGAACTATTGTGTGTTTAAAAAGGTAAACAGTAAACCTTTTGCATCTTAGGTAGAGTTGTGGCTGAAGATTTGATAAAACTTTCGGCTTCTTCAAGCTGTCTAAATTTCTTGTAGATCGCACCAGGATACCCTTTAACATTTTCGGCGCAATCAGGCCTATAATAATAAACCATGCAGACGTATAGTGTAGGACTATGCTACTTAAAAGTGTACGACTTTGGTTGAAATACAGTAATGCACTAGATAAGATTGCATGCTCGTATATAACTGTTTAAAATTTTCAAATGTGGACTTACCAATTTTGATAGATGCCGGGATGTCTACCAACTCGCACTGCATAAAAATAGGCAGCCATTCAGTTGGGATAAAGTATTCTCAATTACACCAGAAACGTCTAATTCATAAGCTGTTGCAGTATTCGGTAGCAATATTGAAGTATAGTTCAAGCAAGATGCTCAAGCCTGGCCAACAACAGTATTAATAACTTTAGGGATTCTTAAGATACGAAAAATGAAATAAAACTGTGTAACCTACAGTAGTTGACAAGGCGAATACTCGTATAGCCTGCTATGACTAACTTGACACGTCGGATTGTCCAATTATTGTATATATATATACTGTACAGTATATTAATTATATACCATGCATCTATATGGTGGTTGAGAAGCTTTTATGGCATCTGTAGTTGAGATCAATAACCATATACTGTAGGTTGTTGTGCACAAGAAGTAGCTCACAAAAATAAAATTCAGGTGCCAAATCCAACTACAGTACAGAATGAATAGTATTTAGTAGTTTACTACAATACAGTGCAGTACTGTACAGTAGTATAGCTCCTCTGCACATATAAATAGACATTTACAATTACAATTAATTAATTAATTAATGAATTCTACTTGCTGTGCAAGTGTGCATACAATCGAGCATCGCAGAGCTATACTGTACTGTACGGTTGTTAGTGTACATATGTGACAGTAATATAAGTAAATTAATTAATTTATGCAGAACGAGGGACTTTTAAAGTGTACAATAGTCAAGCATTGAGATAGAAATTTGTTCTTTCTGTCTTTACCTGGCTCTAGAAATAACAGGCATTTCATAATTTAATAATTAAAAATTTACTAGTACTGTACTGTATATCCTTCGCTCGTTATACTCTACTTCGCGAATTATACTTTCCCTGACTGAGAATATTTACAGTACGGCACAGTATATCATTATGCATTAAATCCATTTGATGAGACTTTCCGAGTACAAACTTTTACTCGTTATTTAACTTGACCATGCACTACTACATATACTACTGTACATTGAGTGTACAATGTACAAGATCATCGACTACTATAACTTGTCTACAAAACCTTTTTCCAATACAGTAGTCTATTCTACATGACTGCTAGGACTGATCACTCTTGGATGGACATACATTTTCGGCCTCATCTCGTCAGAATATTTATGACAACGCTTTAGTATGCAGTTGGTCGATTTTGAATGGATTGATTCTTTCTAAATTAGGTAATATTACGCTAAATCTTATTATTATCTGTTACTAAGTTCCACTCGGAGACAGTCGATGTTATTAGAATTAGTATCAGTAATTTAGAAAACAGACGCGCAAGATCCATACTAAGTAGCCATTTTTCGATATTTATAGCCTAATTTGGTAAGCAAAGTCCGCCTGTCTGAAGGAGTGATCATTTCGGGTCTTCTTCGAATATTATATAGTCTATTCTGTACTACACTATACTGTAATGTCAATGTCGCTCAAGACACACATTGCAAGCAAAATAGAAGGAATTCCTTTCCATCTTTGGAGCGTGTTTGCAGCATTTGCAGCCTATTTTCTTACCGATACGAGTGCATACATATACTTGTATAGTATTATTCGTCTTTCGACATCGATTTATCACTGTCTAACTGCTAGAAATCATTTCAAACCAGGTTATCGTAGTCATATTCACTACTGTAAAACTCAATAAATTAGAACTGAGCTCATCCAGTCGCTGACCAACAACGAATTTTCATTGAAGTAGAAGATAATAGTAATAATTTCTTGAGCTTGCATTCTAATCATAAACATCGACGTTGTTGAACGAAATCAGTCGTGATTCGTTGTCATCATATCCACGTTCTTTATCCTAATGCTTATACTGTACTGCAACCTAATCATTGCAGTATCATGAATGATAATGATAAACAGTACTGCATACATATTCGTAATGCAGTATAAAGTTAATCGGCATGGATAAATCCGATGCATGGGTGTAGGGTTACATTTTACATGGCGATTAATCCAATCTGATCGAATACGAAGGCCGATCAACAGCAAAGGACTTCATTTTCGTTCAAATCGCCAACAAGAGTACAAGGAATGATAAAAATTGATTTTTAATTGGCTTAATTCTGATTGATGACTGACGTAAAGGATGCCATGACGATGTGCAATAGTCTACCGGAAATCTTTTAGGCATCTTTTCGAGACAATTGCAGATTGAATGGCTAAAAATAAGTATACAGCGGTGTAAAAATGAATAAAATGAAAGTTGCAAATGGCAATTAATCCAAGATGGACAAATATTACTAAAAACTTGCATACGACTCTATTAGTCATGATAGTAATGCTGCAGCGCGGCTTAGCCATTTTTGCATAAATTACTTTAAAGGCTACGGCAGATAGTAATAAGTCATATAAAAGCTCAACACTATCAACTACTAGTCAATACGCGGATACGTATAGAACGAGGCAATATCAATAAAAGAGCGTCAAAAGATAGCAAAAAAAATGACCTATTTTGACAAGTGGACTAATTATCACTGAACAAACAGATTTGACTTTACACACTTGATATGGCAATCTACTATACAATCCACTCAATGAATGATTAACTACAAGCCTATTTGAGTCCACATTTTACTGCTCTTAATATACGAATATTCTTATATCAGGTCAACTGGATTGATGATCATTACATTATCTTTATGACGCGTTATGCGGAATGGCTGTTAAAATATTAATTATATTATTATTATTTATTTTTATTGGTAAAAGATATTTCTAGCCCTTCAGGCTTGTTGGAAATAATACACTGAATAATAATACATTTATCGATCGTTTTAATTCCATAAGAAATAATCGATATACTCACTAACACAATACAAATATCTAATTTTATTTTATATACATGGAATACGTATAAAATTTCAAATAAGTCGAGGTATGCGAAAAAATGTTGTCATGCGATATCCATGACTACAAGCATCCCTACATTATATTATTGCAATTTGGATATTCTCAAGTTTTAAAATAGAATTAAGGATTAGAATAAAAGTAACGACCATTAATGTAATCCCTATCATACTGTCTTTTTTATAGTCAATAACATTATGAACTGTAGCATTTCTTATTGATATAAGGATTAATCTTGTTATTCACGGTCAAGGAAATATCGTGGATGGGTATAGCAGAAATCACCGAATTACCTCATTTGTGATGCAATTATAAAGACGGAGGTCCTATCATTCCATCTACATGACATCAAAATCAGTCCATTGCTTGTTAATAAAAACGTTGCAATACTCCACGTAAATGAGCAATACTAGACATCAGCCATAGTAATCAGACTAATTCGGGGAAAAACACGAAATTAATAGTAAAGGGGTTATAGGAGATTTTTTCAATGATTATGTTGCATTTCTTCCTTTCATTATATTATTTTTTTTGCATATATTATATTATATTATATTGATGCTGTATTTCTTTGTTCTCTACACCTGTATTCAGGCCTTATTGTTTGATTTAGAATTCAAAAATGATATTATACTCGTTCTATATTAAACTATAGAGGAAATTAAAATAGTCATCAGATGCTTTATGTTGGCTTTACTGACTGGATATTAAAAACACTTTTCAGCCATCAGCAACGCCATACCACCACATAGAACAACATTTCAATCGATCTTATAGCTGTATCGAATCTTGCTGTCATTAACTTAACATGTCTTATGACAAGTTATATCAAATTTAGATATTAAACTCATCTTTCCTGCTCAACTTGGATATTAATGGCTGACGAGAGAAAGTGTTATAACACTGGAATGAATTCAAGCTAAAAAAATCTTGTTTCCTAACGTATGCTTGCTGTAGCAACCTCGTGTTTTGCTAGTCAAAAAGAAAAAGGAGGAGTAAAGAAAAATTTTCCTTTGCCAGTCAGGTTATTTATACAACTGAACATCAAATGTTAAGTAAAAACTTCTGTACTTAAACTCTACGGTTGAGTATCAAAGTTTTAGAGGTAAAATTACCAGGTAGATTAAGCAAACAAAACTGAGCATTAAAATTGATGATGGCAGAAAGAAAGGAAAGCCAAGGAGGACTACCATTAAGCAAACGTATCAAAAAGCATAATCCGATCAAATTACAAACTTTTGGAGAGCTAACAAAGGGATTGTTAAATTTTCAAGAATTGACAGCAACAACTACTCCTGTTAGTACTGCAAGAACTGCTGTTAGTGAAGCAGATAGTGGCCCTATTGAGGATGTCAAGCCATCCCCAGCCAGTATAAAATTAAGAGAACAAGAAAGGAATATTTCCAATAAATTGACACAAATTAAGAGAAGACTAAGCCTACAGAAAAGCCTTGAAACCGCTCAGGTACAATCAATTTCTAACTTTTTACTCTATGTTATACTACTTATTGTGTCCTACCAAACATAGAAATGGATTTCAACGTTATAAAATAAGACTACTGCGTTAAAAATCAAATCAAGATACGCACAAGGCAATAATTACAATATCTTACAATTCTAAGTAGTAATCATTATCAATTACATTAAATCAAAGCCAGTTCAAAGTAGCGTTAGTATTTTCCAATAGTTAATGTGATATGCTGTATATTTTTCGTCAAAGTTGTACCTTGATTTATGCGTTAAGTGATCAATTAATGACTACTTCTCACTGATATTCTCAATCAATCGTTGATAAAATCACTAGCTATGAACGTTCAATCTATCGTATTAATTCAACCATTTCTAATTCGAAAGGCCCAAGGGGAAAATAAAAATTATTATTAAAATAAGGCAAATCAATTTCATCTGAACGTCATGATATTATTATACTAGAGACTAATAGCGAATATCTATCAGCAACCCAATTAGTAACTTAATTAGATAGAGTAGCCATACAAAAATTTATATTAATTAATAAAATATAATCCTAATACTATTCTATTGCAGTTCTGACAGAATATAAAAGTAAAAGCGAGGACACTATACATGATTATGCTATTTCTTGAACTAATTTTATCACTACTAGTCACTAGATTGCAAAAACATTGAACTTGGTTTAACAACTTCAAATAAAGTTGATGCAATCATTACTTAAACAGTCAAAAGTATTCCTATTTTCGATGTATTATTATCTCTTTTATCATCAACGAGAAGATGCCTTAAAGGATCAATAATTTCTGTAGTAGATTTTTTTCTATTTCATTTGTAATTCTGATTTATTGTCGGCAACAGTGTCATTCTTCTATTTTTAATCCCTTGCCAATCCAAAAACTATCTAAATATTTTTCATCACTTCCATTTATATCATCATTGTTGAAATTAATTTAAAAACTACTTTGGAGATAGAATAGTTTGTAGCCAATTTTCTAAAATTCATTTTGGTATTCTTGTTCTCTATTGGATTCCTGCTCTTATTTTAACGTACAGTAAAGATATTTAAAACGGCCTTAAAGCTTTTTATTATTCAATTTATCAAACTCCTTTCATGATACAGCATGAGTAAATATTCACTAAGTTACTTTATAATTAACGAAAGTAACCAAGAACACCTATAGTCTAAACGAAACCACGCTGTCTTTTATTTCCATATAACAAAGTTTGCCTTGTTTACTTGTCGTAGTCATGCAAAGCGCTAATTAGAATCAAATCAAATCATCAGTTTATAGAAATTATTGATGCATAAAATAATACACTGGTTACTGCCATCTAACATAATAAGAGAATGGCAGAAATTATAGGGAAAATTTTTTAAATTATCTTCACCATATTTCTACTATAGCCTTAATCTTAATTTACATTCTAAAGACACTAGCCACCAAAGAGTAGCAGATTTTTATTACAGGCAACTGATAAAAATAGACCATGACCTTAGTTCCTCTTTAATCAAAAGAAGCTTTCCATATTTTGTTAGATAGAGTACAATTTGGTGATAGCAGCCTCAAAACTAGATATTACGCCTACGCTATCCTTATAGAAAAAATAATTTAGTTGTTATAGACTAGTATATTAGTTAGGATTAGTAGAAATCGATATCCTATAAAAAATTTTAAAACTGAATTTATTTCATTTGCATTAGGATAGATTTAAGTGCAATACACCATCCTATTTGTTTAAATAATATTGATTTATTCTCGTATATCCAAATCATGATATTAATATGGATATATATAATCCTATGCTGAATTCTTTATTTTCATAACTTGGCTAATAGCACAGCCATGTAGATATTATTGTAGTAAATTCATATATTATTTTATCCTTCATGAGAATCTATTTCATAGTTTAATTCACATAATTATGTAGGATAAAAAAATTTTGATGTAGAAGAGCTAAACTTGAATGCATTCCACGATACAATTATATTCGCTCTATAAATATCTATTTTAAATACTTTCTTATGTTAGAGAGTAAAATTATTTCTTTACACGGACATAGCAATAATCGCTAAGTAACCTGTTCAAGGAGCTAAAATATTAAAAATATAATAGTATTGACATTGGAAAAGAAGATTAAGAGAATAATTTTACCTGGATAGATATAGCACTTAAAATTTAAGTACAAATAGATAATATCATTTTGATAGTTATGACATTGAAACCGATTTAAGGTATAAAATTTGTGCCTATAGATACGAATAAAATATAAAAGCAAGCTCTACATGAAGGATGTGATTAATTATAGCATCCGAAGATGAATATTTTTATAGACCACAATATTATAATCTAGATACATGGCAGTAAATATTGATCAGTGAATAAATTAATTAATTTCGCAATCCACTGTTTTGATACTATTCTTTAAAAGCTGATGTAATTTATAGTAATTATCGTATTGCTTAGATTGATTCTGTTGAATCTAATGGGAACAATCAAATTAAAGTCGAAAATACGCCTAGTGAAACAAATTTAAGAACACCTACAAGTACTACTGTGGCAACAGTCAATACAGATGATGAAACAACTACGTCTAACGTCGCTACCGAATTCAAAAATTGGCATCGAGAGGAATTATATCGAATGTTAACGTTAACTCGGCAAAAATTAATGAACTGTATGAACGAATTACGAGAAATTGAAAATTTATTAATTCCAACGATAATGGCTCCAAACGAATATAATCAAATGATTAACGATAAAACAGAACTATTAATACACTTTGCAAAGGCTATCATCGATTTGATGAATCAACTAACAGTTAATTCTGAGACATCTTGCCCTAATAATTATGAAAGCAATGATGTGATTATCAAAAAAATTCAGCAAGGGGAGTACAATGTTACTGAAAAAGACGATATCAATGACCAAAGTGGCCTATTAATAAAGTTAATAACTGATATTAACCACAGTGTTCATTACCAAAATGGTCATGCTAATATTAATCCTTCATTCCAAGCAAATCAAACTGAGTATAAGGACTCACAACATCTAAATCATAATGGATCTATTCCTTCTCCGATGGCTACTAATGGTAGACGAGGTAATCCTACATTAAGTTCATTGGGTACAGTAATACACTTGGAATCGCTATTAAAATTTAACTCGATTCTTCGATAATAATCTTAGTTAAAATAGCCAACCAGCCTTATCATTTTAACAAGTCCATCGTAGGAGTGTAATTACACAAAACGTAGTATATAATTGCCGGTGGATATTTCGTTACTATATTTTATAAGCTTGTAATTATATATATTTCATGCTTTCAAATATTTTCAATTATTATAGACTCTAATGGCAATTGTTCTGATCGAGACATCGAGCAGCAAAGTAACAACAGCAATAAAGTAAGCTATGCTTAACTATACAAGCGAAACTATAGTATCTTTTTGAAAAAGTTTGGTTTTAAGCTAATCATAACCTTCTAATGCAACTAATTACAGTCCTAATGCTAGTCTCAATGCATTTTTTGCTTTAAAGATTAATCAAGATGAAGTATTAAATGAAAGAACTCATCGTCACAGTCTTAGTAAGGAACCCTCAATAGATATTCCCAATGCAGATGAACATATAATGAGAAATGGCCATGCCGATAATGCAGCTAAGACTATATCGATAGCGGATATTCAGGAAGAAAATTTAAATACAGATGGCGAAAAGGATTCTCAAAATAAATATTACGACATAGCGACATCTTCCGGCCTTGAAAAAGAAATGTGTAATGACTCTGTAACGATAGCAAACCTTAGCGACCATAAAGATAATGTTCAAGCACCAATGGATCTCCCTCAAGATCAAATTATTATAAATGGAAACTCCGATAGCTTAGAAATCAGGTAAATTTTTATCTACTAATTCTTGCAGGCATTCAATTAATTTCAGTTATGAATAATTTACAATTAAATCTTAATTTAGATATCATAAATATTAGTTAGCTAGTTTTCGTAGTTTAAATCAACTATCTCGCGACTATTTATGAATTCTTACACATACAACAAGACTTACTAACTTATCGAAAGGATTTATTTTCCGCTTTCATTCTTCTAACTTCGTGTTATTTAATTTAATTCTATAGAGATTTCATTAATCAGGATTTTAAAGAAAATTTCCAAAAACTTGATGACCATTTAAATGAAATAAACATATTATCATCTTCTAAATTGGTAAATAAGAGTAATTTTTTAATAAGCAATAGAAAATGGTATCGCTTATGTTAATAATCTTTAAAATAGTACCAGGAATGTTTTAATTGACAAAATTTTATTATCTAATAAATTAAATATAGGACGAAATATTAAATCAACTAAGGAAGCAATGGTTCGAAGTAGTGCTAGCTGATAATTTGCAAATTGCTATGTTAAAACAATGGATAGAAGAGACCAAAATCAGTTCAAGTAAAGCCTTGAGTGTCATCATTGATATGCAAGACCTAAATGTAATTTTTCATTTCATATTTGAATATATATCACTATTCTAATCAAACTAACACATAATATCGTTTCAATACATATATTTCACATCACTTAAATCTTACTAGAACCTATCCTTCTTTGCTAATATCTTAATCATTCTTATTAGGGAAATACACTTTTACATCATTGTGTCCACAATAAGGAATTTGCCTTAGCTGAATATCTTCTCAATACTGAATTATGCCAAGCAGGCTTATACAATCAAGTGAGTTATACGTTAGCAGCTTCAAAATGTCATAAGCAATATAATAAAATCTAGAAACTATACTTTATTAGCTTCTAAAGATGGTAATTATAACGCCATCTGTCGTAAACATATAGTTTATTGTATAATACTATAAGATTCTGTAGGAACGTTGAAAAACTTATTAATTAAAAACAGTATTGAATTTCATTTGTCAATAATTAATATACGTTAATTTTATTAATTGATTAAATGTAGTACGATAGAATCGATAAATGAACAATCGAATTTCCACAATAACATCTAAACTTTAAAATAAATTTATGTAGTCATATTAAAATTTAATTTCTAGTGAAATTACTGCTTGATACGATTTATAACTGTTATAACTAGATACCGAAATTTTTTAAATAAGTATGATGTTTAATGAGTCATTTATTTAGTATGATTAATGCCATGACCAAAAATCAATCATTTCCATTTGCAGCTCGGGTATACTCCAATTATGGTAGCTGCCTTATTCGATATTAAAAATGACGACGAACGACGTATTATTATGAAAATGCTATCTCACAGCGATGTAGACGCTAAAGCAACAAAAGTTAGCAAATAATAAAATGAACTAGCTATTGAAACTTGGTCGTAATAGTTTTAATCATCTTCTATTTCATATTATGTTATAGACTGGCCAAACAGCTCTAATGTTGGCAGCAGCACATAATAAAGTAATTTTTTCACACCTACTAATCCAAGCCGGTGCCGATATCAATTTACAAGATAAGGTTAATTCTCTATCAAACTAATCGATGATCGTTATACTAATTGTCAAAATTATGAAGGAATTAATGTAGTTTAATAAAATTTTTATCTCAAAATTATGGTAATCCTAAGAGTATTTTAAATATATCACTAACATCTTTGACTTATGCTTGCAATTTCTTAAAAACTGGCGAATTTAATAATTTTGAATATGCTATTTTTATCTCGTAATTAAAAAAGGATGGATCAACAGCTTTGATGACAGCATGCGAACATGGTCTAAAAGACATCGTTAAATTATTATTAGCTCAACCCAATATTAATGTTACTACTCTCGATTATGTAAGTGATTTTAAGTTGCCATTTGTCTGCATTCTACGACCATAACAATAAGCTAACCAACGCTAAATTTTGAGTGCATTACAGCATATAAGATCGTAATTTGTAAAGTTTACTCATAGATAAAGCTAATTTTATACTCCTTCTTTCTAACATATTTATACATATCTTCTATATCAGGACAATTATGATGCTTTATCAATAGCCATGGGTAACAATTTCAAGGACTGTGGTATTCTTATTTACAGCTACATATCTAAAACTTCTAAAGCTCATTCTTAATAATAAGCCATATCAAAAAATAATAAATTATTATAACAGAAAATAGTACCATTAGGTGAAAAATATAGGACTCCCTTCAATCATCCTTCCTCTATTACCTAGATAATATATGATTTATTTAAAAGCCACCGATGTAATCATTTTAAATACAGACATATTGATGACTTTTATAATTCCTACAAATTTAAAAACTAAGATAAATATTGTTGTCTAGTTTTATACTTTACTTTCTCCGCAAGACGATGATTTAGATTTTGAGCAGTATCATTTCTGGATATAATATTTAGACAGTAGTTTATATCACAACGAAGTTGTTATAACTTATATCGTGTAGCATCACGGTAACTGTTTCAACCGTAAATACAGATGAACTTTAAAATTAATTAGTGAATGTCTTTCCTTAATGAAATTAATTAAAAATAATTCAGTCTTTCACGATATCTTTTAATTAATTATAGGAAATCTGCATATGTATATAGTCGTGTATTTACGGTACCTGCATTGCGTACATACAGTAATTATTGTCAGTTAAGTCAATAGCTGCTAAAATTGCTGCTGAACTTACAGAAAATGAACTACCTCAACACATTGCAGTAATTTAAAAATTACAATTACCATGGAAAGAAATATACGTAATTCAAGTCTAAGCCTCTATATGTTCTAATAATAAGACATAACAAGTATATTTTATGATTGAAGGGCTATTTATTAATAATCTAGAAAGAAAAGTGACGATATCATTGAATTAAATTTGTATGTGACTGACAAAATTAATATAAGAATAATAACTACTAAATTATTTAACACGATATCGAACATTTCCTCTTAGCCTCTACTACATATTGCTTTCATTTTTTAAAGAATTTGACTGATTGAGAAAAAATTATATTTAACTTACGAGAGGTCATTTGGTCTGCATTGAATTTCGCATTAATAAATTTATGTTTCATTCCTTAATAGCCTTCCAAACATTATTTGAATTAAACTATGTTATCTAAGATCACGTTAATCAGCGTTTGGCTTACCAATCCAGTTAAGAAATCTAGTCACTTTGTATTTTTAGTGGCAGTATAACCGATACCTATATCTTACAATGAAGCAAAGATTCAATTACTATTTCAGCAGCTTCGTTTCAGTTCTGATCTCATATATAGTATCTACAGAACATCAAGATTTTTCATTGTCGGTAACAATAGCTACTACAATGGTATGCATTATAATTGACATTAAAAAAAAGTTAATCCTACACCTTACGATATCATAATAATAATTCTGCTACTATATGCGAAAAAAGGTAAACTAGGCCAGAATTACTTTAGATTAACACTAATTTATTACTTCAGATTATCATTGAATAAAATTGATTTCTTAACTAACGTGTACAGTATTAATAAAATAATGTAAAATAGGGATGGAATTAGTGCAAGAGTTAGTTAGATTAATCTTGTTTAATCACGAAGGAGATGTAAGTTTCCACGTGCAAACGAGTAATTAAATCAACATATTTGTTGTATGTGGTAATCAATCTTTGAAAAAGATCTTACGTAGTTCGAGATATCAATCTAAATCAAATGACTACAGTATGTTATGTGAATACATAGGCTGCATGATTCAGTATATTCTTCATAAATGCCCCACGAAACATCACCTCTAATACGAACATTGCATGAAACGATAGCGATAAAAAATATACTATGCAGAATAGCAGAAAGATTTATATATCATCTGCCGCTAGTGATTAGAATATTTCATGATCACGATAATATATCAGCTTAGAGCATTTAGCGTGTAAGTAAACTGAGTTCCGGTTCCCGTTACAAGTTTGCACGAAGTATTAATTATTATTTGCAGGCGGGGAAAGTTTAATATTCATCACTTTAACTCTTAAATTTGCTCTCGGCATAGACTTACAGAATATATATTAGTATGTTATATTCAATCATGATTTTAAACAGGGAAAAAAGACGATGTCTTCCATTTTTTCTCGGAACACATATATCTACAGTAACTAATACCTTCGGCACTATCAAACAAAGGCTAGACTTTAATAATTTATTATCCGTTAAGCCTATTACGGTAACAATAGCCGAGACATTTAGCTGCTTAAGTTCTTCATATAAGTCAGATTAATACTAATCATATCGACAATGTGGACAAATTCATATCGAAATAGTGAAATTACATTGCGAGCATCAACATTGAAGCGATTACCAGCTTAAATACGTCATTAAAACTGTGATCAGCATTTTAGTTAGAGCCATGTAGAAATAGAATCAATTTTATTTGCTTTTAAAAAAATCCGCCGCTAATGATAGCGATCCTTACTCATACGTGATAAATTATAATGTATAATGGTAATTTCACAACGTAATAGAGTAAATACATTAAACGGATGATTCGTATTCAGCATTGCGAACAAAGAGGTGATTTCTTTTCACAAATATTGATAAATTAGTATTATATGTCTTTAAACTAACCCATCAATCAGTAACGCATTACTTAGAATCATGCTCCTTGCGTGATATCTTCACGTGTTTCTGTGACAACAATTTTCCGTTTAATGCTTAGCTCATTTTTTCGCTGATTTAACAATTCCTAATATGAAATATATCTCGGTGTTGTAAAGCTTATTCTGTAATAAGACCGTCTCTGATAATTCATTTTGATTACATAACTTATCCTGCAAGTAGACTATAAATGCTAATTGTTAATAGGTAGATTTGCACCGTTAGACCGCAATAAGAGTCTATAGGGGAGGGCGAACAACTGTTCAGAGAGTTCCTTTCTTGGATAATTTACTAGGCGGTAAACTACCTCAAGACTAATAAAAATAGTTCTAAAATCAATACGCAAATATCAATCGTAACTGTAAAGTTCATTCGCAGGAGTAAGTTGGTAACACTCGGCTACATCTTGATACAATTTCTTCAATTAACTTATACTTAAAGGTGTGTTTAAGACTGTCATAATCACTAGGATTGAAATTATTTAGTTTCTTTACCCATATGAGTAGCTAGAACCATAATTATTAGAATCAAATTACCATTTTTAATATAACGTTAAGTGAATAATGTAAAGGTCATAAGCAGTAACCGCATAGATAGCAATGGTTATTTCAAGTTGCCCGTAGTTAAAATTCAATCATTCTAGCCTAAAGGAACTTCTTTGATACCACTACTGTAATAAAATCTTGATAGATGTATACTATCAGTTAGTTATTTGAAGTAAAATATAACTGGTAGGGAAACAAAGCAAGTTTATTTGCAATTATCATTGCGTTATATCAATTATTCTATTAAGCTACAGATGCATGAAAAAATTTTCTCCTATAGCAATATAAAGATTACTTAGCTTACTTCGATGCTTCTAATAATTACTATAGCACTTTCTTTCCTACTTTCAGATAGATTAATTTACATTTTTGCCACTCCTTCAATTTTGGGGGTTTGCCGATCTATTAATGAATCATCATCATCCATGGTTAAAACCAATCTATTTTTTCGTTGACAATTCTATTAAGACTTAATATTTACGAAAGGTTTAAATTTAATAGAGCAATCATAATCCAATCTACTCCAATGAAGCATAAAATAAAGATTCGACAAGTGGTATTTTCTATTTAAAACTTTATCGATTGGTGGTATGAGTTTACCGTTTACGCATGTCTTTAATTTAAAGCAAATATTTTTTACCTTTTCCCTTCAAGAATAAACATGCTCTTTTTGTGGTGGAAAAATAGCCCAGAATGGGTGGCAACTTAAAAAATTGAACACTGCACTAATTCACTTGGCCATAAAATGAATCAATCAATCATACTCCCTCAGTCATTTATAAAAAGGCGATCACGTCCATTAGGGTTATCAGTCTTGCATCGAGTGATTTACCAATTTAGGAATCATGAAGGCGATCTCAGTAGCTATCTTATTGCTTGCACTATCTTACTCTGCTAATGCAGGTCACAATGCCAACGCATGGCGAAACAAAGTCATCTATCAGGTAAATCCTCTAAAATTTACAACAATATTAATGTCGTCACTTCAATTAGGGAATAATCCCAATCTGCCTTCACTCATCTTGAGTTTTTCTTTACTTTACATATTTACTAAATTGCTGTATACTGTAGAAATTTAGAATTGCAATTGCCATAGATAATAATATTGCGTTTATACTGTCCTGGACAACATAGGCATCTATACAATAACTTCATTATAATTGCGTCCTCACGCTTTCCTAGTAACACTGGAATGAATAATTTCTAGCATTAAATTCATTTCAGATGTTAAAATTTTTAAAACCTTTGAGTTATTTGGCCATTTATTGGCCATTCATATTTCTTGCTCGGTTTATTACCGGTACTATTTTTATTTGTAGTACATTATTTTATTCTTTTCAATAAAACCGAAATCTTCTGTCCCTGATTGATGGTCGAATTCCAGCAGATATGAATTCAGTAGTCTACCGATTCCTTTAATTTGAATTTGTAATACAATAAATTATCTACTCTATAATATATATCAATTTGATATCACCTATATTGGATTGCAAATAGAATAAATTGGCCATGTAATAAGTTACCGTCGTCTAAAGTCGTATGTTCCTATACTTCTGACAATTAAATCATTTATATAAGCTACTTTGATACATTTTTATGATTTTTATCCAATGTACAGGTTTTAGTCGACCGTTTTGCCGGCTACAATTCTAATTCATGGAGCTCTTGTAAAGATTTAAAGGGTTACTGTGGTGGCAGCTTCAAAGGTTTAAAGCAGAAATTAGGATATATCAAAAATATGGGATTTGATGCCGTTTGGATTTCACCTGTTGTAGAAAACACCGATTTAGGTTACCATGGTTATTGGGCTAAAGATATTTATAAGATTAATTCTCACTATGGTACATCTCAAGAACTAAAAGACTTGGTAAATGAGGCTCACAAGCAGGGAGTTTGGATTATGTTGGATGTGTAAGAAAAATATATTTATTCCAACTCTAGAATCAAGATAGCAATTGATAATACAAATAATTCAATCATTGTTTTGAATATATTAAAATTATAAACCGATAATTAAAGCTATTACTATAATTTGCCTTTATTTACTTTTTTAATCATGATATCAATACTCCTGTAGTGTTGCCAATCATATGGGCTATGGAGACATTAGCACCTTCTACCCATTCGATCGTAATGAACATTATCACCCTGCCTGTGAAATTAACAACTGGGGTAACCAATGGGAGGTAATAATTTTTAGCATATTGAATCCCTTTAGCCATATCCTCCATTCATGGAATCCTTTATACCTGATTTGTAAGCAGAGGTATATATCACCTTAACTAATTAACTGATTGAAATAGGTTGAAAACTGCCGTCTTGCTGGTTTACCTGATCTTAAACAAGAAAATAACTTTGTCAAAAATGAATTGAAATACTGGGTCAGCTGGATCGTCAAGGAATATAACTTTGATGGTATTCGCATTGATACTATCCCAGAGGTTCGTTTAAAGACACATCCATTTTTATAGAATGTAATTAACAAATCTGAGTTAAAAAATTTATCATCATATCAACCGATAGCAACTCTAAGCCTGTTTCAATATAGTACTTAGTACTCTTCCTACAGCCATAATTTATAAATCTTAGATGGTCATGCAATTAAATTATATCGATATTGAAGTAGACAAACCCAAATAGCTTAAAAATTTTTACTTCGTAATTTAAAACACAGTCTCATGTGTAGAATTACTAACCTGTAGATTCCAGTTTGGTTCTGGTCTGAATTCCATACTTCTGCTAACGTTTTCACAATTGGAGAAGCTTTTAATGGTTTCGTAGACTATTTGAAGAAATATGTACCTCCTTTGGATTCAGTTTTGAACTACCCCATGTACTACGCTTTCAAAGACGTATACATGTACAAACAATCCATGACTAGAATCCGTGATGTCTTAAACGAAGAAGTAAGTTACTATATACGTGACTTTAACATAACAGATGTTTTAAATCGTATAAGTTGTAAATAGATATTTCGGTAAACTACAAATTCTATCATTTAACTCAATAAACTGAATAAGATTTAAGATATGGAGAGCATAGTACAGCACTTAATTGTGTAATCGGCGTATATATTTATGTAATGCTTAAAAGAGCATAATTTGATTAAGCTAGGATAATATAAAACATAAATCATTATGACGAACGAAGTTAGAAGTATTTTTATTCATAGTTTCTCAAGCGGACAAATTAGCATTTCCAGCAAGAAAGCTTGGTGCAAGCATAACCACTCTTGACTTCAACTGATTGGGAGTATTTTTTTACTTTTCATTAAATTATAGTATAGCAAATTCTCCGATGTTCAATTACTCGGTCTCTTCTTGGACAACCATGATGTTCCGCGTTTCTTGTACTTCAATAACGATTGGACTTTGTTGAAGAACAACTTGGCTTGGATCTTGCTTGGTGAGGTAAGACCAATAATCGACAATTTACATAGAACAGCTACAATACTTGCTCTCCAGTAAGCATGAAAAATATCTTGAACCAATTTCTATAAGACGATTAGCGTTTTCCTCGTGTAAGGGTTTGCATATCTATTTCAGGGTATCCCAATTGTATACTATGGTACCGAACAAGCTTATGCTGGTGGTAATGATCCAAATAATCGTGAATCTTTGTTTCCAAATTTCAACCAGAATCACTGGATGTATGATGTAAGTCATCTTCGTCAGATTCTATTCGTTCGGTGTAAATAGTTTATGTCAATCATACATCTTATAAAAATATTTTTAAGAATTACTAAAATGTCTTCTAATCACATAGATATAGTTATCAGACGTTACTTATAGTATATGCTTGAACTACTCTACCGTGCTATAGTATAGTAGATTAATTTTTGAATCAATGTCCAATCTCACCATATTGTACTTATTGCATCTTTTAAGAATCGCCAGGATATTTTTAAATTGTCAAACTTACTTTATATAAAATTGTATACGTAAAAAACCTTTGCTGTTCTATAATATAGAAAAGGAAATTTCTAATCAATACCAAATATGATTTCCATAGTAGCTATAAATAAGATAGCATTATGGGATAGGTATCTTTATACATCTATACTATAGAGTAACTTTAAAGCTCTAGTAAAATGAGCAATTTATAGACTCGATATATGTTGTAGTTTCCATAGTATTAGTTATACGTAGATTCATCAAGATTACTTTTTACCCAACATTGTATGTCAAGTAAAAATTAGATTCATAATAGACTATAATTATCACGCTGGTAAAATGCATAACTCATTTCTTTTACTATAGTGTAATTATTACACTAGCAAAATACACAACCCATTTTTTTTAATATCGTTAGCGAATTTAATACTTTTATTATCCGCCAACAGTACATCAAAACAATCAATGACTACCGTAAAACTGTAATCAACTACAACGGCCAGGCTTATGTTGAAAGATATGTTAGCAACGACTTCTTCGCATGGTCTAAGGGAAATACCTTGGTCGTTACCAGCAATGTTGGTTCTGGTGGTAGCACAAGTAAAACTATCAGCTATCTACCATATAGTGTTGGTACTTCTATCGTTAACGTTCTTGACTCTAGCGAAAAACATACCGTCCAAAGCTGGGGTATTTATGTTACTATTAGCAATGGTCAACCCAAGATCTTCAAACGATTATAAGTAAGAATTTTCTCTTACAATTTAAAAATGAAAATTTTCGTCTTATTCCTCTACCATTAGCTCAATTTACTTCATAATTTATACTGCTACAGATCTATTCAATTAATCATTAGATGATAAGTAATCATTTACCGGTATCCTTCAATGTTAAAATTTGATAGATCTATGGCTATAACCTACATATCCATAACAAATATTGTAGACCACCCTCAGTTAGCTTGCTAATCTACCATGTGATACGCCACGTTAACTATTTCATTTCTTTTTGTGTTCGCCTGATCTAGGTCATAAAATTACTGCTGTCCCTTGCTTCTGTAATATCAGGACGTTGGCATAAAGTTTTATCATAGAAATTGATACTTTAGCTTGTAGCTTGCTCGCTAGACTAGTTATTTGTCCGTCATATAACAGAAAGTATGATAGAAATAACATAACTAACTAGAGTTAAATGTAAGCATCCTTCACATTTATCATCATTAAAATCTCAGCAGTTATTGGGGATTTCACTGGTAAATCCTCTTACTGCAGTCACAAAGAAAATTAAGGATGCTACATATTCTTATGTAGGAAATTAGTACTAATAAAGATGATATTGCATTAAATTGCCAATTTGTCACTATTGTAAAGGGTATACGTTTATAACAGTGAATTTTGCTATCCGAATGCTTATCAACATGTCTTATCGTATCATTTCTATATCAACAATTAGTACTATAGACAATATTGCAGGATTTAAAATCGCGGTTAACTGTCAAACCGCCATGCTCCCAATAAGATTGTAATAAAATTCAAATCCAAAGAAACGTCAGTGGAAAGTAATAGCTTCATTACAATTTATTGGGAGTCTAAAAAACATTAACGGAGGATAATAACTAACCATTAACATAAAGATCTCTCTATATATACAACTGGCAAACATCATCTGCCATGCTACAAGTTACTATAGCTTCCTAATTAATACAGTAGGAGCTTCTACTCACATCATAGTTCCTTATATTATCGTCTATCTTTCCAAATACGACATAGATAACAACTGATTACGTTGTTCATATACTGTACTTTTAGTCGACAAGACTATTATAATCATCATAATAGATACGATATCTCTACTAATATAGGCTCTCCTATATTAACGTCAACAGCTATTTAAGTTAGTTAATGTCGCTAATTTTGCAAAGATTCTTCTGGTTTATACATGAATATGAGAATTTATTGAAAATTGTAATGTCGATATTAGGTAAAGAGCTAGAATTGTTGATTGGAGGTAGAGGAAGTTAGTAGAACATACTGCAATTGCGAAAAACTAACTAAAATTATTCAATTCGCGATGATGGATAGTACTGCGATCTTAAAATACAATCATTTCATAAGCTCAGGACATTTACAACTATTGAAACTTTAGAAATATAAATCAACAACCGGATACATTGTATAGTAAATACTGTATTACGAGTTAACATGAGAAATGATATACAAGTTTTAGTATTATTCCCATTTTATCTCTTGTTCTCTTTTTTTTTAACGAAATATTTGAGTTTTTTCGGATAGATGATCGCGCTATAAAATTTCTGTATCAAAATTAATATTACCTTGCATCATAAAATCTAGCCAAATAGAAAGTTTTTCTTACACAGCTAACTCTTGTGAAAGATAATTCAGATTCGAAATCGCCATGTTGTACTATATATGGCACTAACAATCATGAAACGTGAATTATCCAACTTGATCCCAATGTTTAAGGTTAATAACCAACTAAAATGATCATCGTGGTATACATAGACATATCCAGCTTGTACAATTGAATAACATAACGTTCCATTTATTTTTAGGTTAATAAATGTGAAACTTACTTAATTTTTGAAATGTTTCCTTTAATGAAGCCTATCTCACTGTAATCCTTTCCTTGTGGACAAAGTATTTTAATGAATCCTTGATAAACCAATGATAGTGTAAAAGTCAAACTAGTACCTGTAGCATTTTAGCTAAACTGATATATAAAGATAGGATTAAATTTCTCTTACATGGCAGCTAGGTAAAACTTTTATAAAGTTAAGTTATTAGCTTAATAAACAATTTTTATATCACTATTTTTAGTGAGTATGTCTTCATCACTCTTCTTACACTAACTGTAACTATTGTAATTATTCTACGACTGTAAAAAATCTATCCCATGGTAATCATTAGCATTTCAACTCATAATGGTGGACCAAACAATCGTTTAGTATCGATAAATTAGTAAATACTTATTTAATAGCAAGAATAATGTTTGATACTCCATAACTAGTAGACAAATTTAAATTCGAATGAAATGAAATTGGAGCTATAAGAAAGATCTAAGCAGATATCTGTATAAAGTTATCGAAATTCTTTAATCATATTTTGCTAAATATATTTTGTATTTACTCAATTGTACTTATTAAGGGGATTAAATGGAATTCCGATAGATAGACCAGCTTCATTTTACTTTCTCTTTCGAGTAATAGCCTAGTTTTTTAAATCTGAATTTGTTTAGAGTAAAACAAGGATAGTGTAAATCTTTATCGTATGGGCTATAGTACTGACAATAATCACGTACAGATTACTTTACTCGAAATATTTTGGAGTATTAAGCGGTTAAATATTCCCTTGTAGTGCCGCCTCAAATATGGCTTGGATTGTGATTTGTAAGACTGTACGAGAGCAGTAGTACTCGTATGTTAGATTGTATGATTTTGAAGATATCTATTTGCAGAAGAGGCTTACATATGTATTGTCTTGATACTATTGAGATCTTCATATTAAAATTTCATGATAATAATAGATAGCGCTAATTATGTTAGTACTGAGAGAGTTGCATTGTGGCGCTTTAATTAGACGCGTGAATAATGAATAGTTCGCGCGATGATAAACTGTTACCTTGCGATTTAATTGGCAAGATATGATTGTAAAGTGTAAAATTCATTCTGTAACAAAGGGTATATAAACCACGAGCTTTCGCTGTAAAACATAATCCAGAGATAGTCCTATTGAAGCTAGATAGTTCTTGGTAGTTGTACGACGAACCTAATCTTTGTAATAAAATGAAGTTTACAAGAAACTGTAGTTTTTTTCTATTTTTGAGAAGACACTTTATAACATCATTATTTACATTTACCGGTAACTAATAAAATATTTTAATTATTTAAAGGTGATTACGATTAACCGAATAAGAGACAAAGGTAGAATCAAAATAGATCATATTTAAAAGGAATGTTTACTCATGAGATATATTATACATTACGGTTGCAGTAATTTACTAGAATCACTCTCTTGTATTTAATGAATAGTAAAAATATCAAGTATCAAAATTTGAATATTAAAATCGCTCGTAATTGTATGCGGCTAAAGTCGAATTATTAATAATAAATATCCTTCAGAGAAATGAAAAGACGTAAGTTCTAATTTACTAAAGTACCTCTATAATCGCGATATTATCTTGAATAAATTGTAATAACCGGCCTCGATATATAATTTGTAGCTTATAAACTGTCTTGTGTCATTCTAAAGTGAAAGGAAGCTATAAGACGTGCTTAGATATCCCTTATCAGTAAATAAAATTTGATCAATTTTATCCAATAGAATTGCACTGCCTTCTAATTGATATAAAGCAACAAGATTAGACGAATCAAGATCTAGTTTCCTCAAATTTTCAAACCAATTCTTAATAAAGTAATTGTTGTACATATAGTAAGCTGCAGAGATACGCGTATTAGATTGCCTTGACTTATTACCAATAAGGCATCAAGCGTAACATCTCCATTGTAAATCACAAATTTGCGATTTATTCTAATCCATAACAATTATAGAGCTTTCTTTAGTTTACCTGTTTGTTTCTTCCAGGACTCTGATCAGTATAACTGGTAGGAGCACTATCTTCAGGGTTAGAGGAAGTAATACAATACTGAAGACTGTTGAATATTAACTAAAATCTCAAATTGGCTATGGAACATTTCTCGTATTTCTTAAAGGCTTACAAGTTGTAAATTTTTATAATTTATTTTAATGGCTCATATTCTCTTATAGCTGGTACATCAGGTGGGCTTTTCAGCTGAATAAACAAAAATATTGAACAAAATACCTAAATATAGCTTATCGTTTTTTGTCTGCCATATCAATAATTTACATTTTTTAATGACTTTGTAGACACATTAGCTACTTTATTATGTTTCTTACTAGTTATTAATAAAAAAATTCAGGTACTTAAATTTTAGGGCACCTTAATAATCGAAAATCAGAGCATGAATAGTAACCATACAACTAGAATAAATTCAGACTTGAACGAGAAATTTGAAGTGTTGTTCATTTTATAAGCAGTACAGATCGCTACTTAATTTACATGCAATCAAGAAGTGTCTTTATACATCACCCCAACGGTAAAAAATGAGTAACGAAAAATACACAAAATTGTTATTCATAGAATATTTTTTAATACCTATAGTAGTCTTATCCTGACAAATAAACTATCAATGCATGTGTACCATACGCAAATATTACGTATGTTTATATTCTTTGCTAAGGCTTGCTACGACAAATATCATTAAATTGATTAAAAATATAAATGAGCATTCACCATTGAAATTTATAGTAGAAACAGTTTTAAGATGTATATATATATATATAATACATGATAAAACATGATAAAGATAATAGCACTTATTGTAACTTATTTTTCCAGCTTCGATTATTGAAAACTTTATTATGTGTGTCTTGACATTCTGTCTTCCAATTATTCTATTTATATAGATCCTATATAGCTGTAATGAAATTTTCAAAAATTATTATTGTATGTTTAATATTATTAACTGACTAGGTTGAGCTCTTAACATTTCAAAAGCAATCGATTTTTGAATAATTTAATTTAAGAGGCTGGCTAAAGCAGTATTATTAGATTCTAGAAATTAACGATCGTGATACAATAAATGGAATGACATGTTGGCGATGATTGCTTCGTATTGCCATTAATAAATGCTGTTGTTAATATA